TACCATGGGATGAAGTGTCATCACCTATAACAACACAGGGATACCAGTTACCATGGGATGAAGTGTCATCACACAGGATACCAGTTACAACACAGGGATACCAGTTACCATGGGATGAAGTGTCATCACCTATAACAACACAGGGATACCAGTTACCATGGGATGAAGTGTCATCACCTAGCACAACACAGGGATACCAGTTACCATGGGATGAAGTGTCATCACCTAGCACAACACAGGGATACCAGTTACCATGGGATGAAGTGTCATCACCTAGCACAACACAACCAGGGATACCAGTTACCATGGAATGAAGTGTCATCACCTAGCACATCACAGGGATACCAGTTACCATGGGATGAAGTGTCATCACCTAGCACAACACAACCAGGGATACCAGTTACCATGGGGTGAAGTGTCTTCATCTAATACAACACCTGGATATCTAGCTTGAAGACACATTAAGGGAGAACTGGTGGGCCAGTCATCAAAGCTGCCACAATTTTTTGTGTGGGGTTATGTGTGGTATACCCAAAACCTAGTACCACGGGTTTGAATCCTGTACTAGCTCAGTCGATCAGCACCATCTCCAGCTTGTGGGTTCCACAAATGTGATAAATGTCTCAGACCTGCATCACTTCCAGCTTTCCTTCCACATCAAGCTGACGTTCCGGAATACCTTTCAAAGCAGGGTTAAGCCCAACTTGAGCACTAATACTGACCAAGCCACAATGATGTGATTCAAATCTGTATATCCTGGCGCACATAAGCAGGTGACTACAGACACATTGTAGCAGTAGGTGACATTAATGATACAAACACGAATTTGTGGAGTTAAACATACTTTGTAGGGCACAAAGTGGTGCTAGAAACAGCATCTATTCCTACTACACTGAATATATATCGTATAATACACACAGTGTGCAAAAATAGTTTCCAAAATTTGCAAGCCAGTCGGGCTAGCTATGCTTGAAAGTTACTAGCCCACATAATAAATCACTAGCCCGAAATTTGAATGTAGAAACTAAGCAAAATATTACAAAAAGGTACATTATCATAAAAAAAAATCATGAAAATTCACCAGCCAGTCGGGCCAGTGACTGTGGAGATTTACTGGCTCGACTGGATTTTTACTAGACACGGGCCAGCGGTCCAGTGGCTATTTCGCACACTGAATACACATTGTCATCACTTCAGATAGTAATCGTTATTATAAAATCATAATTCGTTTTAGAGTCCAGACATACATATTGATTAACCCCAAACCGGATGCTTGTGGCTCTACAAGGGGCATAACTCTCACACACGTGCTTAGGGGTTGAAGGGTCACATGTTAGATTTGTCCTGAATTAAGTTTAAGAAAAATGGATTTTAGCCCACCTGCTGGAGGGAAAATGGATTCTGCCCAAAGGGAGCAGCTAATGGATCAAGTCAAACAACAAATCGCTTTAGCAAATGCACAGGAATTACTACAGGTGGTGTTTTTGTTGACAAACTCTAGTCAACATGTTCTTTGCACTTGCAATGTTTCGTCATATAAGTTCATAATTGCTAGTATTTTTACCGTACATAATTTAGTAGATCCATGCTATCACTTTCAATACCACGAATCGGTCCACACGAATGTCATATTGATTGTTGTGCTTTTTTTCAGAAAATGTCTGAAAAATGTTTCAAGAAATGTGTCACAAAACCGGGCACCTCGTTGGATAACTCAGAGCAGGTAACCTAGACCATGAAAAACACTCAGTGCTTTTAAATGAGAAGAAATTCCAATGTGAAGTTTATCTAACCAGAGCTGTGTTTATTCAGTAAATTTACACTTTATTTTGATCCTACCTAAATCTGGTCGAAGATAGTAACTGACCATCTGATATCTGTTGGTGGAAGTATACCTCAGAGACCAGACCCATGTACTGGCGGGTTATGAATAAATATGAAGTGATTTCAGACCATCTCATGGCGAAAAACCCAAACCAGTAATATGTGCCACTATCACAGCTCCAAACATGAGTCTTTTTAAAAGCGTGCTATATTTTTAGACTTCTGCCGGCATCCCTCCTAATTTTAAAGTGAGTGAGTGAGTGAGTTACTTTAGTTTTACGCCGCGTTCAGCAATATTCCAGCTATATGGGGGCGGTCTGTAAATAATTGAGTCTGGACCAGACAATCCAGTGATTAACAGCATGAGCACCGATCTGCGCAATTGACATGTGCAAACCAAGTCAGGAAGCCTGACCACCCGATCCCGTTGGTTGCCTCTTACGACAAGCATAGTCGCCTTTTGTGGCAAGCATGGGTTGCTGAAGATCTACCCTGGATCTTCATGGGTCCCTAAGTTTTAAGGAGGAGGAAAGATTTATTTGATTGGCATTGTTAGAGGTTGGATATGTCTTTCAGTATGTTAAAATACAGTTAAAGAAACCTGTTAAAAATTGTCCTTATCAGATGAGGAATATATATTCAGGTGATATGATTTGACAAGAGTGAAATTTAAGGGAGCCTGACAGCCTTGTTGAATGTGACAAACATATTACTTATACTGTAACAAAACATCCAACTTCATGTGTAGATACACTGAAATGTTGCTCTGTGCAATATACAAGAAGTTGTCCATAAAGTCATATGCTATATTATTGACTCACTAACTTCTTAAATGCTGATAAAACAAATATTACTTGAATGCTGATAAAACAATTATTACTTATACTCTACTTCACTATATCACAAATACAGTCACAGATAATGACCTCAATCATACCTGAAGCATCCACATGTGAATCATGTTGTTATCAGTACATCTATTAACACTGGTACAAAACAATCTTAATGTTGATATATCCATATTTATTTCTAATTAACTCTAAAACCAGGACATTCGACAAAAAACAGATGTAACGTATTGTGACCTTTTAACTATTTGTTTCAGAAATGTATAGCTATGTGCATGGATCGGTATATGGATTCCTGGAACCTGGTGTCACGAGTGTATGGCAGTCGCTTGCAGAGAGAGAGGGGAAGCCACTGAAGTATTTTATATAGTGACTCTAGTGATAAGGTCCAAAGCATTTCCTATTGAACATGATCTGAGCAATCAATGGAGGTTGGAGAATTTGGCAACTGAAGAAACCTGCATGAAGGGATGGCATTGACAGCTGATCATTACTGTCCCATCACTGGAACTCATGTTACTTAACCATTATGACACATAGACAATGTTGAAAACAGTGGCGCGCCATCAGTATGTCTGTGCATTTATCAGTGTTCTTAGAGTGAATGGAATAGTTATCTTTAATGTGTGACAAACTCAGTTTTAAAGACTATAGTTGATTGATCAATAAAGATGAGAGACTGGCAGTAGCTGGAACAACCCTGGGCAGTGTAACCTCTTCGCTAAACTGCTGTCTACTGCCGTCTCCAAGATTAACCCATGTGTATTTGGTTTAGGAACATGTTTAATGCTTAGTATGAATTAGGCAGATCCATTTAATGTTCAAAATAAAACTCTTTGGCTTCAAATTATTCTTAACCATGCTAATCTTTACCAATGTAAAAATATCTATGGCTGTCAATTATTCATTTTGTATAGATATTCAAAATTTGTCTCATAAAGTATTGGAGATTTGATCAATATATGATGGCAGCCCTCAGTCCGACCTGATCTGGTGATGCAAGAGAACGATCCAACAGACACAGAACTTATAGAACGTTCATGGACTAGCATCAGAGTTATCCGCAAGGTTTTATTCTTGCCAGTTGGTTGGCCATGTAAAACTGCTGTCTGTCACAGTTTGGTTGTCTGTCACTGTCTGGTTGTCTGTCACTGTATGGTTGTCCTGGATGAAAACTCCTAGCTGTGCTCCACTCCTGTTACTGTCTGTTTGCTAAAACATTAAAGTGCTCAGTAATTTTCTCATATGTTTTTGCTCCTTCTAAAGTGTGCACTTTAGAAATTCAATGTATTTAGGTTTAATATGTATTTCGTAAGGAGTCAAGAACTGGGAAAACAAGTCAAAATTTTCCCATATGGCTTTTAAAAATGATCTGGTACCAATGTTATTTGAAGGTTAGGTTCAGGTATCAGTGATTCTGACCAAGTTGAGCCATTGCCTGCTACATTCCAATAGACTTTGGAAATCTTCACTAGTTACAAGCTGTTGGGCAACCGTTAATTCCAACCTGGATAGAATGCTGGAGCAGTTGTTCAACTGTTTTCAACGTGACTATGGCTGTACTTGACCACAGACGGTCACGGTCTTCACACAGGCTTGGAAACTCCTTATGAATGAAAGCCTCGAAAAGTTTGGTAAAGAGTTCTGAAGCTAAGAATGGAGTGAACCCTGCTGTTTGATAAATAATGACTTTTATCCAATCTTCCTATTTGTAATCATGTTGGGAAGGAATGTTGAAACAGACACTGTTTAATGGATGTTTGTGTTTTGATAGAAACAAATACAATCTCATAATGAAAGAAGTGAGAATGTCTCAATGACTCAGTTAGAAAAGTGATCATGCTAAACAGAGTTTGATACAAGAATATCATGATGTGTTGCTAGTTGGCATAAAATAGACCAGTGTAATATCAGTGTGTAAATGATGTAGTGAGAAGTGTTCAACAGAAAGAGTGTGTATAAATAAACATAATCAAAGGAAAATTTGACTTGACTTTTTCTAACGTTGTCTTCGTTGTTGCAAGTCTTGCTGACTGTGATTACACACAGCATTCACTCACTCCCTCAGGAATTCTTTGGGTGATCATGTTTAATCGTTAGATGTTGGTTACCTGTAGTTCGGTCACATCCTCCCTCGAGGGCTGCCAGGTTAACACTGTTCCCAGTGCCCTACACTAATCTAATGAACAACTTTCTGTGTCAATCTCTGTGACTTGGTTGACTGTCATACCTCACGGAAAGTTGCACAGAACATCCATCACTGGCTTGTTTGGTCCAGATTTGGTTATTTACAAGCTGCCATTGAATACAGCGTACATTGTTGTTACAAACATGACAAACACATCACCAGTCTGCACTTTCTGTGGTTTATTTAAAACCAATTTACAATAATATTTAGTTAGAATTTAACATGGCCACAAATAACCTGTGGCTTGGAAAGAGCCTCGGTGGAAGAGGAGGGGTATGGTGGGGAGGGGGTGTGATGTGGGCTGGGTGTCCTGTGCTACCAACACTACAGAGGTATGGGGGAGTGTGTGGTGTGGGCTGGGTGTCCTGGGCTATGTGGGCTGGGTGTCCTGGGCTACCAACACTACAGAGGTATGGGGGGAGAGTGTGGTGTGATGTGGGCTGGGTGTCCTGGGCTACCAACACTACAGAGGTATGGGGGGAGTGTGGTGTGATGTGGGCTGGGTGTCCTGTGCTACCAACACTACAGATGTATGGGGAGTGTGTGGTGTGGTGTGATGTGGGCTGGGTGTCCTGGGCTACCAACACTACAGATGTATGGGGGAGAGTGTGGTGTGATGTGGGCTGGGTGTCCTGGGCTACCAACACTACAGAGGTATGGGGAGAGTGTGGTGTGATGTGGGCTGGGTGTCCTGTGGGCTGGGTGTCCAACACTACAGAGGTATGGGGAGAGTGTGTGGTGTGATGTGGGCTGGGTGTCCTGTGCTACCAACACTACTACAGATGTATGGGGGAGTGTGTGGTGTGGTGTGGGCTGGGTGTCCTGTGCTACCAACACTACAGATGTATGAGGGAGAGTGTGGTGTGGTGTGATGTGGGCTGGGTGTCCTGGGCTACCAACACTACAGATGTATGGGGAGAGTGTGTGGTTTGATGCGGGCTAGGTGTCCTGGGCTACCAACGCTACAGATATATGGGGGGAGAGTGTGGTGTGATGTGGGCTGGGTGTCCTGTGCTACCAACACTACAGAGGTATGGGGGGAGTGTGTGGTGTGATGTGGGCTGGGTGTCCTGTGCTACCAACACTACAGAGTATGTATGGGGTGTGTGTGTGGTGTGGTGTGGGCTGGGTGTCCTTGGCTACCAACACTACAGATGTATGGAGGGAGAGTGTGGTGTGTTGTGGGCTGGGTGTCCTGGGCTACCAACACTACAGAGGTATGGGGGGAGTGTGTGGTGTTATGTGGGCTGAGTGTCCTGGGCTACCAACACTACAGAGGTATGGGGGGAGTGTGTGGTTTGATGTGGGCTGGGTGTCCTGGGCTACCAACACTACAGATATATGGGGGGAGTGTGTGGTTTGATGTGGGCTGGGTGTCCTGGGCTACCAACACTACAGATGTATGGAGGGAGAGTGTGGTGTGATGTGGGCTGGGTGTCCTGGGCTACCAACACTACAGAGGTATGGGGGAGTGTGTGGTTTGATGTGGGCTGGGTGTCCTGTGCTACCAACACTACAGAGGTATGGGGGGAGTGTGTGGTGTGATGTGGGCTGGGTGTCCTGGGCTACCAACACTACAGAGGTATGGGGGGAGTGTGTGGTGTGATGTGGGCTGGGTGTCCTGGCTACCAACACTACAGATGTATGGAGGGAGAGTGTGGTGTGATGTGGGCTGGGTGTCCTGGGCTACCAACACTACAGAGGTATGGGGGGAGTGTGTGGTGTGATGTGGGCTGGGTGTCCTGGGCTACCAACACTACAGGGAGTGTATGGTGTGATGTGGGCTGGGTGTCCTGGTGTGATGTGGGCTGGTGTGATGTGTGGGTGTCCTGGGCTACCAACACTACAGTGGTATGGGGGGAGTGTGTGGTGTGATGTGGGCTGGGTGTCCTGGGCTACCAACACTACAGAGGTATGGGGGGAGTGTATGGTGTGATGTGGGCTGGGTGTCCTGGGCTACCAACACTACAGATGTATGGAGGGAGTGGGTGGTGTGATGTGGGCTGGGTGTCCTGGGCTACCAACACTACAGAGGTATGGGGGAGTGTATGGTGTGATGTGGGCTGGGTGTCCTGGGCTACCAACACTACAGTGGTATGGGGGGAGTGTGTGATGTGTTGTCACTTGACCCACATATTATCACATCACTCTCATATGGATGAATATCGGACAAAGTCAACTTGATTTGCAGACTTCCCACAAACTCCCGCCATTACTGATAGCAGGGTAATAGCCATGATAGCTGTCCTGCTTGGCGTCATAGGGGTGTCTGACTTGATTACAGATACCGATTCTGTCTGACTACAGGATATCAAACTCCGGGAAGTAGCTCATCATCAGTTTATAATCGGCGCTGATCAGCACAGCAAGGAATATTCCTTTCAATATGACAAAAATCTTAACAACCCTGAACAAGTCCAGGTATTTCCTGTGAAAACCCAGAGCACATGTTAATCACATCTATTTAAAACAATGTTGTGAAGCACCTAATTATTTAAATATTACTTCAGTTGATCAGTCAAGACACACTAATTATGGAAACATGAAAGAATCAGCAGATGTTTAAGTATATATGAGTAGTATACCTCAGACACACACGTCTGTAATTGGGATTGATACATCTGTACATCACACACGAGGAATTATCACAGAATATCTCATCAAACAGTGGTATGTTTCACTTTCGTTGGCTTCACAAGAATAAAATAACAACTCAGCTGAAATTGATTGTATGAAGTGTAAACAATCAACACCTCTGTGTAATAACACCATTGAACCAGTTTCTAGTGTCATCAAAACCTTCTTGACAACCATTTCATGAAGGACATTTTCGGTTCATCCAGCTACTGTCTTGAGCAGCATAAGCTGTACACTACAGTATTGGTGACACGCTTGACAACGGTGACACTGGTGACCAGCAGCTGGTCTTGACACTGGTGACCCGGCAGCTGGTCTTGACAACTTTCGGACACTGGTGACCGGCAGCTGGTCTTGACAACTCGGACACTGGTGACCAGCTGGTCTTGACAACTCGGACACTGGTGACCGGCAGCTGGTCTTGACAACTCGGACACTGGTGACCGGCAGCTGGTCTTGACAACTCGGACACTGGTGACCTTCACCAGAATGTATATACATGTATTCACAAAGCAGCAGTCCTCCTTGGATTCGTCTGATGCACAGCTGTACTTGGTGGCAAGGACCTTGGAGGTATTAGATTGTCAAGATGTTCAACAAGCTTGCTAGAACAGGTTCCGGCACAACGGACATGATGAGTTGTGGCTGGTGCTGAACCATTTGTACTGCAAGCAAAGTAATAATGGAAATACATTAGCATGACACTAACCATGTATATTTTCTTAGGACAATATTTAACCTATTGTCTGACTAAAATTCCAAAACAAAATTTTGTATTTGTGGTGGGGTGTGGTCCTGTGCATAGAGCTCAGGTCACAAATCAGTTGAAGTTAAGCAGCGTTGGGCATGGAGAGTCCTTGGATGGGTGACTGTGTTTGACAGCTTGACTCCTGAAAATTTCTAGAACTTCAGTCCTGCCCCACAACGAAGCACATGTGATACATGTGGCTCAATGCAGGCAAGTGAGTTTGTTCAAAATTGTTCACCCAGCAGAAAATGGGTACCCGGTGGGATGTGACTAACCATCTAGTGCCTAAGAGGCAGCTTGGGTTATCCGGGGTAATTTAACACGTTGACTGCCACCACGTATATGCTTGTGGTATCAATGTCTGGCCCAATTTGCCACTATGAGTTAAGAGTGGTATTTTAAAAGAAGTTTCACATTTTGGCAAAACAGCACAAGCAGCAATCGTCTCCTGGCGGTTAAAAAGAACACCAGGACACGTTTGTTTCTTGTGCCTATTTTGCCAACTTATGAAACTTGTTTCAAAATACCACTGATATAGCTATGAGATAACTCGTAGCGGCAAATTTGGCCAGAATTGATACTCGTGATAGGCAGTAAACGTGTTAATGTGTTAGCGCTTTGAGCATGCACATGTGTGTTGAAACAGGTGCTTTATTAATGGTCATTATTATTATTTAATACTCAAGAGGAAATGGTTAGGTTACACACATTACAAAGGTTCTGCTGCTCCGCCATACATAAATCAGATACGAAAACTTCAAGGTGAAGTTCTACATACCAAACATGCAGAATGGAATTTCTTCTTGCATGTGCGGCACTGCAACCGTGGCAACTGGAAGTTGGTGCCATGTAGAACTGAATAGCAGATCATGCAGTCGTCCACACCCTCAAACCTCTTGTCAATGTTCTTCTTCCACAGCTTCAACCCCTCAATGATACTGCCATTCTACCAACCCAAAACATTGCCCATTGAAACAGATTCATACAACATGCCAAAGGCCTTCTGATTACTACTTTTGTGTATGTATAAATGATCAGTAAGTTAACTACATGCAGCTTTAATAGTGACCATTTCATGTGGTTGTTGAGATAATATTTTAGAATATCTAAAAAACTGATGCACAAACGTGTGTCCCAAAGGTGGAGAGAACATGGAGGAGTGATACCGTGACACCCACAGGAGTCTGCTGGGCTGTGTAGCATGTGTCACATGGAAAATGAAGTTACTAAATTAAGGATAATACAAACTGTTATTTATGAAGTGTAGTTATTGCATGTGATAAAGAACATTTAATGAACACTCACTTTGGGCCTTGGTACTAATGTAATTCTGGCAACAGTGTTTTATACGAGTCCTTGATCACAGGCACCAGTTTGTAACCATGCCAACATGAACACAAGCCATCCTTAAAAGCATAACAGCTGACAGTCATCCAGTTTGATTCATTATTGGACAGAATGTGGCGCTTACATCAAACTAACTCTGATGATGGCATAACTCATCCATGTGATATACCACTGGCTCCAACAACAGGAATCTAGCTGTTGAATTGGGTCTGTATCAAAATGGCCGCCAATCAGAATCAAAATGAAACCTATTCTACTTCTCTTTCATTCTGGAGAGACTCTGCATTTACCATGGGCCGGAAGAAGAATTTCAGATAGAAAGGCCAGCAGTCACCTCACCTTGTCACTGACCACTGTCATTCACCCTGTCCCCTGCTAGTCACACATATAGCTCACCTGGTGCTGGAGGAAGATGTTGAGATGGAGCAGCCACCGGTCCCACTGCGACTGGGTCACCCCGACCTTCTTGTCACTGACCACAGTGATACTCCCAAGAGGGTAATTCTCTGGGAGCGAAATTACGACCTCCACGCTCACCTCCGACATTGTGTACTTTGCTATCACTTCACGGATCTTAGGCCGAGCCTTGATCTGGAAAAACGATGTAACTGTAGATGGTATCCATCATGTAGGGTCTATGAAACACATTCACATGATCTTTCTCTTCTTAATTAAGTACATGTAACACATGTGGTCTCAATTTAGGCTAGTGACTTTGTTCTAAATTGGCCCTGCTCACATATTAAGTTGCCTTTTACGACCAGCATACTCTTCCAAGGACCTACTCTAAGCTGGAAACGCCACAGAGTTAATCTCTTCAATACGACAGGGACACAGTCTCTCCATGGAGGCTTCCTCCAGACAGACAACACTGACCTCGATTCCATCCAGCTCCTCGTCTGTGGCCTGCACTGAGGAGATCTCGGAGTGACACAATAGTGGACTCACATGCTTCTTGGTGAATCTAAACACAGACCATCATCATAATACACCCCACAGAAACATATTCTCTCTATTGTTGTATATGTAATCCTCTTTGACCACTTTTGTAAAATCAAGTTAACAACACTTTTTCACCCAAACAACTTTCTGCTTTCCAATTTTATTACTTGTCACTGGAAATCCCACTTGTTGATGTATCCAGACAATCTTACTTGTCAATGTAAGTAGTTGTTCTCCTATCACAATCTCACTTGTGAATGTAACTAGTTGTTCCCCTATCACAATCTTACTTGTCAATGTAACTAGTTGTTCTCCTATCACAATCTCACTTGTCAATGTAACTAGTTGTTCTCCTATCACAATCTCTCTTGTCAATGTAACTAGTTGTTCTCCTATCACAATCTCTTGTCAATGTAACTAGTTGTTCTCCTATCACAATCTCTCTTGTCAATGTAACTAGTTGTTCTCCTATCACAATCTTACTTGTCAATGTAACTAGTTGTTCTCCTATCACAATTTACTTGTCAATATAACTCATCATGTAACTATCATAGTTTTGTTCTCCTATCACAATCTTACTAAGTTAAGGTTCATGTAACTAGTTGTTGTCCTATCACAATCTGTGAACTTGTCAATGTAACTAGTTGTTTGATCCTATCACAATCTTCACTTGTCAATGTAACTATAGTTGTTCTCCTATCACAATCTTACTTGTCAATGTAACTAGTTGTTCTCCTATCACAATCTCACTTGTCAATGTAACTAGTTGTTGTCCTATCACAATCTCTCTTGTCAATGTAACTAGTTGTTCTCCTATCACAATCTTACTTGTCAATGTAACTAGTTGTTCTCCTATCACAATCTCTTTGTCTTGTCACAATCTCACTTGTCAATTTAACTAGTTGTTGTCCTATCACAATGTAACTAGTTGTTCTCCTATCACAATCTCACTTGTCAATGTAACTAGTTGTTCTCCTATCACAATCTTACTTGTCAATGTAACTAGTTGTTGTCCTATCACAATCTTACTTGTCAATGTAACTAGTTGTTGTCCTATCACAATCTCACTTCTGAATTTAACTAGTTGTTCTCCTATCACAATCTTACTTGTCAATGTAACTAGTTGTTCTCCTATCACAATCTTACTTGTCAATGTAACTAGTTGTTGTCCTATCACAATCTCACTTGTCAATGTAACTAGTTGTTCTCCTATCACAATCTTACTTGTCAATGTAACTAGTTGTTCTCCTATCACAATCTTACTTGTCAATGTAACTAGTTGTTCTCCTATCACAATCTCACTTGTCAATGTAACTAGTTGTTCTCCTATCACAATCTTACTTGTCAATGTAACTAGTTGTTCTCCACAATATCACAATATCACAATCCTCTTATCTTGTTCTATCCAATTGTAACAAGTTGTCTCTCTGAAATTACATCACTGATGGACTGCTCTTGAACAGCTTGAGGATGAGTTTCCATGACAACAGGTATCCCATGGTGTACCTAAACTCATCAGTGTTGGGGGCAATGGTAAAGCACTCCTCTAAGCCTGCATCACACAACACTATGTCCATGGCAGCAGCACCCTCCATACACACCTTGTTGACAGCATGAGGTGGTTTACTGCAACATCGACCAAACAAGAATAAAGGTAAATAAAACATTGTTTCTCCAAAATAATCATGATAATAAAAACACATATCAAACTACTAAGACTATCTATGTTTTGTTATGTGGATCTCATGCACTACCTGATGACTGATATACTGGACTCAAGGTTATCATACTGATAGCTGGCTATATTTGAATGCCAAACCCCTCTTTGGCTGTAGACACTTCCTGTCCCCACAGGACCGTGGACTCTTTCTGTCCCCACAGGACTGTGGACTCTCATGTTTCTCATGTCCTCCATGACTGGACTCTCCTGTCTCCTTCATGTCTGTGGACTCTCCTGTCCCCCTAGGACTGTTGACTCATGTTTCTCATGTCTGTGGACTCTCCTGTCTCCTTCATGTCTGTGGACTCTCCTGTCCCCCCAGGACTGTGGACTCTCCTGTCTCATGTCTGTGGACTCTCCTGTCTCCTTCATGTCTGTGGACTCTCCTGTCCCCTAGGACTGTTGGACTCATGTTTCTCCTGTCTCATGACTGTGGACTCTCCTGTCTCCCATCATGTCTGACTGGACTCTCCTGGCTCCTCCCAGGACTGTGGACTGTGGACTCTCCTGTCCCCTCATGTCTGTGGACTGTGGACTCTCCTGTCCCCCAGAACTGTTGACTCATGTTTCTCATGTCTGTGGACTCTCCTGGACTGTGGACTCTCCTGTCTCCTCCATGACTGTGGACTCTCCTGTGGACTCTCCTGTCCAGGACTGTGGACTCTCCTGTCCCCCTCGGACTGTGGACTCTCCTGTCCCCCTAGGACTGTGGACTCTCCTCCATGACTGTGGACTCTCCTGTCTCCTCCATGACTGTGGACTCTCCTGTCTCCTCCATGACTGTGGACTCTCCTGTCTCCTCCATGACTGTGGACTCTCCTGGCTCCTCCATGAGTGTGGACTCTCCTGTCTCCTCCATGACTGTGGACTCTCCTGTCTCCTCCAAGACTGTGGACTCTCCTGTCTCCTCCATGAGTGTGGACTCTCCTGTCTCCTCCATGACTGTGGACTCTCCTGTCTCCCCTATCGCTGTGGACTCTTCCTGTTCCCCCAGAACTGTTGACTCATGTTTCTCATGACTGTGGACTCTCCTGTCTCCTCCATGACTGTGGACTCTCCTGTCTCCTCCATGACTGTGGACTCTCCTGTCTCTCGTGACTGTGGACTCTCCTTGTCCCTCCAAGACATCGGAATCTTTCTATCCCCTTCTAATGGGGACTCTTCTGCCCCTTCATGACAGTGGACTCTCCTGTCCCCATGACAGTATGGACTTCTCCTGTTACCATGAAAGCATGGACTCTCCTGTCCCACAAAGACTTTTCCTGTCTCTCCATAACTGTGGACTCCTGTCCCCAATGAATTGGTTGACTTCCCCCATCCCTAAAGACTATGGTCTCCCCTGTACCTCTATGACTGTGGAATCTTCCTGACCTTGCATAACAGTGGACTCTCCTATCCCAGCTGACTGCGGACTCTCACGTGGCACCCTTGACTCACCTGGACTCATCATTCCTCTTGTCCTCCTCCTGCAGCTGCTCCACCTCATCCTTGTCCTCCTGTTCATATGCTGGCAGCTCACTCACAATCCTGGAACAATACATATTCTAGTTATGGAAAGTCTGATTACACAAGGAAAGTATGTTGCTAATACGTAAATCTGATTTTGATTGGTGGGAAGTGTAATCTCAACTTTAAATCTTATAATGTACAAGGACATTCAAGAAACTATAAGTCCAATGTGGCAAATAAATGGGCTTAGATCAAGTATCTATTACTGTTTTACATAGCCAATCGAGCAGAGATGTTTGTTCATTTTCTCTCTATTTCTTCACACCACTAATTTTTCCCTATCATTTTGATCAAGCAAAACCAATACTTGAATTGTTGTATTTTCTATTTTTCCTAAAGAAGTCTGGCCCCATGACACAGACAGCTTTGTACCAACCAACCTGTTAAGCACACGGAAGGCTGTCACTTGTACAGAGGCACTGCTGTATAGCATCATGGGACTGAAGGTGTTGAGTAGAGACTGTAGAGAGTCTGGCAGGGGAGACAAATCTTCTGCAATTAGATTGGCTGGCAACTGGAGACCTAGCACATGCTGTTTGGGACAGCAAGAGATAGCAAGGCCCATCGAACTGATGACGTTGTCATGGAGACCACCTCCTGTTGTCTGCAGAGACTTGGCTGGAGACAAAAGTGACAGATACTTTTAAGAGCAGTGATTAGAACACAAATTGGAATAGTCCATGTTTCAGAGTATGCTAGTCAGCAGAACTGTGTGTTATCTTGATGTTGAAATATACCACAGTTAAACCATACACCACAGTCAGCAATAGTTCAACCATACACCACGGTCAGCAATACTCAAACCATACACCACAGTCAGCAATAGTCAAACCATACACCACAGTCAGCAATAGTCAAACCATACACCACAGTCAGCAATAGTCAAACCATACACCACAGTCACAATAGTCAGCAGCAATAGTCAAACCATACCATAGTCACAAATAGTCAAACCATACACCACAGTCAGCAATAGTCAAACCATACACCACAGTCAGCAATAGTCAAACCATACACCACACCACAGTCAAACCAATAGTCAAATAGTCCATACACCACAGTCAATCAAACCACCACAGTCAGCAATAGTCAAACCATACACCACAGTCAGCAATAGTCAAACCATACACCACAGTCAGCAATAGTCAAATAATAGTCAAACCATACACCACAGTCAGCAATAGTCAAACCATACACCACAGTCAGCAATAGTCAAATAGTCAAACCATACACCACAGTCAGCAATAGTCAAACCATACACCACAGTCAGCAATAGTCAAACCATACACCACAGTCAGCAATAGTCAAACCATACACCACAGTCAGCAATAGTCAAACCATACACCACAGTCAGCAATAGTCAAACTATACACCAGTCAGCAGTCAGCAATAGTCAAACCATACACCACAGTCAGCAATAGTCAAACCATACACCACAGTCAGCAATAGTCAAACCATACACCACAGTCAGCAATAGTCAAACCATACACCACAGTCAGCAATAGTCAAACCATACACCACAGTCAGCAATAGTCAAACCATACACCACAGTCAGCAATAGTCAAACCATACACCACAGTCAGCAATAGTCAAACCATACACCACAGTCAGCAATAGTCAAACCATACACCACAGTCAGCAATAGTCAAACCATACACCACAGTCAGCAATAGTCAAACCATACACCATGTTAGGGTACTGAGTCAGACAATCACATTACATGTTGTAAACCCACCCTCCACAAGTATTACAGGACGTTGCTGGTGACCCACAATGAAGTGGAGTTAAAGATGAAGTCTGACTCACCTACAAGTCTCACATACAGAGGAAGGAGAATACTGAACACTCCCTCACTGAAGAACTCGTCCCATTCTGTGAGGAGGTTGTCAGGGAAGCTGGACGGTGATGTGCGTATCCTGGTATCGATACAGTTCACAACGTCACCAAGGAGTTGACATGCCCTGATGGTGAACACACTGACAGAGGTCTGGCTGGCTAGCAGGTGCTCACTCTCCGCAACAGTCTACAGGAGGGAACGGTATACTTAAAACACAATGTATATACACATAGACTTGGATGATTCTTTGTGGACTTAGTGCCATGTCTTGAAATTCATCACAGACACTAAATATGTAGTCACCAAGCTGATGGTTGTGAGAGCTTGTGAGAGTGGGAAGGAGGAAAGGAATGAGACTGTGAGTGAGTGAGTGAGTGAGTGAGTGAGTGAGTGAGTGAGTGAGTGAGTGAGTGAGTGAGTGAGTGAGTGAGTGAGTGAGTGAGTGAGTGAGTGAGTGAGTGAGTGAGTGAGTGAGTGAGTGAGTGACCCACCTGGACCCATGCGATGGTGCTGCACATGATGAAGTCCCAGTCAGTGTTCCCTAGTTCCTGGGGCAGGAGTGTCACATACAGCTGCACAAAGTTCATCACTTCCACGTTTGTGGCGATCTTGTCAAGGTCAGCCTCAGACAGGTCGCTGTAAATACACAACACAGCCTTGTATCTCCCTGGATTAACACTACCCCTGTGTTCCAGGACAAACTGAAAACTTCACTGACGTGAAGCAGCAATATCACAGGCCATGCAAGGTTTTCAATCAGATAGGTCATCTTACCATAACTATCTAATATTTTACTCTACAGGTATGAAAATTAACCTAGAAAATCTACTGGGCCAAATTTCTACTAGGACCAATGTTCATGATACTAATATGACTGACACAAATGGTGATTGATTGTAACAACTTACCACATAAAGAATATGTGATTCACCATGACGACATACCAGGTAAACAATATGAGAACCTCGGTAATATCTTACTAGGTAAACAACATGAGATCTGGTGTAACAACTAACCAGACAAAAATCAAGAGAACCTTGGTAACGAATTCCCAGGTAAACGAGAGAATTTCGGTAACAACTTACCAGTTAAACAAGAGACCTCGGTAACGACTTACCAGGTAAACAACACGAGAACCTCGGTAGCGACTTACCAGGTAAACAACACGAGATCCTCGGTAGCTACTTACCAGGTAAACAACACGAGATCCTCGGTAATGACTTACCAGGTAAACAACACGAGATCCTCGGTAGCGACTTACCAGGTAAACAACACGAGATCCTCGGTAGCGACTTACCAGGTACACAACAAGAGAACCTCGGTAGCGACTTACCAGGTACACAACACGAGAACCTCGGTAGCGACTTACCAGGTAAACAACAAGAGAACCTCGGTAGCGACTTACCAGGTAAACAACACAAGAACCTCGGCAATGACTTACCAGGTAAACAACTAGAGATCCTCGGTAGCGACTTACCAGGTAAACAACATGAGATCCTCGGTTTCCTGCTTCCACATAATTATCTGGCTCAGTGTTGACTTGAATATGTCCTTCACTTCTGGACTTTCAGTATCGACATGAGGCAAGGTCATGTTCAGTACACCCAGCAGACCAACACCACCTGTAACCATGGTAATAGAATCATAGTACTGTCCACGTTTGTTTCACAATCACAACAATCTAGCTATTAGTTACAGGAAATACCCAGAGATAATGATATCCTGTGAAACATGTCTACTGACAGTCAGTGCTGTTGTGTGGCTTGTATTTCGATTTCCTTTAGTTCCAGGCGGCCATAAACCAACAATATCACTGGAACTAAACAAGCAGCTTCCTCAGTGCCACTTCGCCTCAGATTATGATTGTGGGATGACAGTGTGTCAGTGAGTGTGTCGGAGAGTGTGTTGGAGAGCGTGTCGGAGAGTGTGTCGGTGAGTGTGTCGGAGAGTGTGTTGGTGTGTCGGAGAGAGTGTCGGAGGGTTTGTCAGTGAGCGTGTCGGAGAGAGCGTCGGTGAGCGTGTCTGAGTGTCGGTGAGCGTGTCGGAGAGAGCGTCGGAGAGTGTGTCTGTGAGTGTGTCGGAGAGTGTGTTGGAGGGTGTGTCGGTGAGCATGTCGGAGAGAGTGTCGGTGACTGTGTTGGAGAGCATGTCGGAGAGTGTGTCAGTGAGTGTGTCGGAGAGTGTGTCGGTGATTGTGTCGGAGAGTGTGTCGGATAGTGTGTCAGAGAGCATGTCGGAGGGTGTGTTGGAGAGCATGTCGGAGAGTGTGTCAGAGAGTGTGTCGGAGAGTGTGTCGGTGAGTGTGTCGGTGAGTCTCACCATCAACTTGTGTGGAGGAGTCAGCTGGGGTGGTGATGAATCGTGCGTTGAGGATCTGCGCGGCCGTGAGACGGGCATGTTCGCTGACGTAGCTGGTGCTGCACTGTAGGGTGTGGAGGCTGGTGGTGGTCAGGGTGCTGCATCTGGAAACATCAGCAGTTCCGGAGATGAACCAGGGACTGACAGTTGATACAATAACACAACTACAATGTAACTAGTCTGAATATATTGCGGGATATCCCTTACATCCTCTGTATATCACATGTACTGAAGTAAATATTCCTGAGTAGACGAGACTCTCTGGTAATGATGGCAGTCTGTTTCTCCAGACTGAGTGCACAGTATTCTGCCTGGAATGACCACATGGTCCAAGGATTATTCATGTCTTATTATAAGAAAAGTCAGTTCATCAGGTTTTGTTTAACTCACATGAATAACGTACCTATCAATGACAGCATCATCTGACAAGCTGACCTCTGATTGGCTGGTCTTGAGGATATCCAACAACGTAGACAAGGAAACTGAAGCAATGCCCCCTGTTTCCTCGGACCTGAAAAAGGCAAAACCATGGCAGTTTTAGTGTACGTCATAGTGAACAACGTGAAGAACTGACATGTACCTTAGAATGCTACACGCATCTATATTCATGTAAGTTCTTTAGACAGATAAGATCATTTTGGCTTCATTGTGAATAAACATAAAGCATAATACATAAAAATACAATACAATACATATAAAGCAAATAATGTATGTGTCAGCATAAATGATAAGTAACAGTAAAATGATAAGTAACAGTCGTTGTCTAAAGCAGAGCTGATAAAGCTAAAATACACATGTTTCTGGTAAGTAATCCAGTACACTACACACCTTGTCATGTTGAGTACACTACACACCTTGTCATGTTGAATACACTACACACCTTGTCATGTAGAGTACACTACACTTCTCATGTTGAGTACACTACACACCTTGTCATGTTGAATACACTACACACCTTGTCATGTTGAATACACTACACATGTAGAGTACACACCTTGTCATATTGAATACACTACACACCTTGTCATGTTGAGTACACTACACACCTTGTCATGTAGAATACACTACACACCTTGTCATGTTGAGTACACTACACACCTTGCACTACCTTGTCAGTTTGAATACACTACAATAACCTTGTCATTGAATACACTACACACCTTGTCGGCATGTAGAGTACACTACACACCTTGTCATGTAGAATACACTACACACCTTGTCATATTGAATACACTACACACCTTGTCATGTAGAGTACACTACACACCTTGTCATATTGAATACACTACACACCTTGTCATGTAGAATACACTACACACCTTGTCATGTTGAGTACACTACACACCTTGTCATGTAGAATACACTACACACCTTGTCATGTTGAGTACACTACACACCTTGTCATGTTGAATACACTACACACCTTGTCATGTTGAGAGTACACTACACACCTTGTCATGTTGAATACACTACACGTCTTGTCATGTAGAATTGTCATGTAGAATACACTACACACCATGTCATATTGACATATTGAATACACTACACACCTTGTCATGTAGAGTACACTACACACCTTGTCATGTAGAGTACACTACACACCTTGTCATGTTGAATACACTACACACCTTGTCATGTTTAATACACTACACACATTGTCATGTTGAGTACACTACACACCTTGTCATGTTGAATACACTACAAACCTTGTCATGTTGAGTACACTACACACTTGTCAACACACCTTGTTGAGTACACTAAACACCTTGTCATGTTGAGTACACTACACACCTTGTCATGTAGAGTACACTACACACCTTGTCATGTTGAATACACTACACACCTTGTCATGTTGAGTACACTACACACCTTGTCATGTTGAATACACTACACACCTTGTCATGTAGAGTACACTAAACACCTTGTCATGTTGAGTACACTATACACACCTTGTCATGTTGAGTACACTACACAAAATACACTCATCTTGTCATATTGAATACACTACACACCTTGTCATGTAGAATACACTACACACCTTGTCATGTAGAATACACTACACACCTTGTCATGTTGAATACACTACACACCTTGTCATGTTGAATACACTACACACCTTGTCATATTGAATACACTACACACCTTGTCATGTTGAGTACACTACACACCTTGTCATGTTGAGTACACTACACACCTTGTCATGTTGAGTACACTACACACCTTGTCATGTTGAGTACACTACACACCTTGTCATGTTGAATACACTACACACCTTGTCATGTTGAATACACTACACACCTTGTCATGTTGAGTACACTACACACCTTGTCATGTTGAATACACTACACACCTTGTCATGTTGAATACACTACACACCTTGTCATGTTGAACTACACACTACACTACACACCTTGTCATGTTGAGTACACTACACACCTTGTCATGTTGAGTACACTACACACCTTGTCATGTAGAGTACACTACACACCTTGTCATGTAGAGTACACTACACACCTTGTCATGTTGAATACACTACACACCTTGTCATGTAGAATACACTACACACCTTGTCATGTTGAATACACTACACACCTTGTCATGTAGAGTACACTACACACCTTGTCATGTTGAATACACTACACACCTTGTCATGTAGAGTACACTACACACCTTGTCATGTTGAATACACTACACACCTTGTCAGTTTGAATACACTACACACCTTGTCATGTTGGGTACACTACACACCTTGTCATGTTGAATACACTACACGTGTTGTCATGTAGAATACACTACACACCTTGACATATTGAATACACTACACACCTTGTCATGTAGAGTACACTACACACTTCTTGTCATTTGAATACACTACACACCTTGTCATGTAGAGTACACTACACACCTTGTCATGTTGAATACACTACACAATCTTGTCATGTAGAATACACTACACACCTTGTCATGTTGAGTACACTACACACCTTTGTCATGTTGAATACACTACACACCTTGTCATGTTGAATACACTACACACCTTGTCATGTAGAGTACACTACACACCTTGTCATGTTGAATACACTACACACCTTGTCATGTAGAGTACACTACACACCTTGTCATGTTGAATACACTACACACCTTGTCATGTTGAATACACTACACACCTTGTCATGTTGAATACACTACACACCTTGTCATGTAGAGTACACTACACACCTTGTCATGTTGAATACACTACACACCTTGTCATGTTGAGTACACTACACACCTTGTCATGTTGAGTACACTACACACACTTTGTCATGTTGAATACACTACACACCTTGTCATGTAGAGTACACTACACACCTTGTCATGTTGAATACACTACACACCTTGTCATGTAGAGTACACTACACACCTTGTCATGTTGAATACACTACACACCTTGTCATGTTGAATACACTACACACCTTGACATATTGAATACACTACACACCTTGTCATGGTACACCACATGTTGAATACACTACACACCTTGTCATGTAGAGATACACTACACACCTTGTCATGGCATATTGAACTACACTACACACCTTGTCATGTAGAGTACACTACACACCTTGTCATGTTGAATACACTACACACCTTGTCATGTAGAGTACACTACACACCTTGTCATGTTGAATACACTACACGTGTTGTCATGTAGAATACACTACACACCTTGACATATTGAATACACTAAACACACTTGTCTTGGCATGTAGAGTACACTACACACCTTGTCATGTTGTAGAGTAGTACACTACAAACCTTGTCATGTTGAATACACTACACACCTTGTCATGTTGAATACACTACACACACCTTGTCATGTTGAGTACACTACACACCTTGTCATGTTGAAGTACACTACACACCTTGTCATGTTGAGTACACTACACACCTTGTCATGTTGAATGTAGAGTACACTACACACCTTGTCATGTTGAGTACACTACACACCTTGTCATGTATGAGACCTACACTGGCACACCTTGTCATGGCCATGTAGATACACTACACACACCTTGTCATGTTGAGTACACTACACACCTTGTCATGTTGAGTACACTACACACCTTGTCATGTTGAGTACACTACACACCTTGTCATGTAGAGTACACTACACACCTTGTCATGTTGAACACTACACTAAACATCTGTCATGTAGAATACTGGGAATACACATGTCATGTCATGTAGAGTACACAACACACCTTGTCATGTTGAGTACACTACACACCTTGTCATGTTGAGTACACTACACACCTTGTCATGTAGAGTACACTACACACCTTGTCATTTTGAGATACACTACACACCTTGTCATGTAGAGTACACTACACACCTTGTCATGGTGAATACACTAAACGTTTTCATGTAGAGTACACTACACACCTTGTCATGTAGAGTACACTACAGAACTTGTCATGTTGAATACATAACACATGTTGTCATGTTGGGGAGACTACACACCTTGCCATGGTCATGTTGAGTACACTACACAACTTGTCATGTTGAATACACAACAAATGTTGTCATGTTGGGGAGACTACACACCTTGTTATGGTCATGTTGAGTACACTACACACCTTGTCATGTAGAGTACACTAAACATCTTGTCATGGCGAATACATGTTGAGTACACTACACACCTTGTCATGGCCATGTTGAGTACACTAAACACCTTGTCATGTAGAGTACACTACACACCTTGTCATGTAGAGTACACTACACACCTTGTCATGGCCATGTTGAGTACACTACACACCTTGTCATGTCATGTTGAGTACACTAAACACCTTGTCATGTAGAGTACACTACACACCTTGTCATGTAGAGTACACTACACACCTTGTCATGTAGAGTACACTAAACACCTTGTCATGTAGAGTACACTAAACACCTTGTCATGTAGAGTACACTACACACCTTGTCATGGCCATGTTGAGGAGCTTCCTCTGACTCTCACTGTCCAAGACAGTCACCAGGCTCCTGACCTTCACCTTTAGTTGGTCCAGTCCTGATGTCAAATCTGGGAAACGGTGAACCTGAACAAATCCAAAATATGTCCTGATATGGAGCCTAGATATCCTCAGTTCATACCATCACAAAACATGTTAACAGTTGGGGATGAACAGAGAGTCACAAGGAATATCTAATCTTCATCTAGCCTTCATCTTTAAAGTGTTGCATCCAGGCTTCTGGAACCCCAGGGGAAATACTTCTGTGTAGGATCTAGAAAGGTGCAGTTTGTCAGACATGGGGAACACTACTGACACAAAAACAAATGTACAACAGGGGTCGGACTTGTCCAATATACTACCTGTGGGCCCTGCTAACTATTTCCCAAACTCCTGGGAACAAAAAATCCCAACTCGATAAAGTTTTACTTAAGCCCTGCCAAAAAACTATTAGGATTTCCTTCGATGATGAAAGTGTTTCCTGTATAGTATTGTGCATTATATTACGACCTTCCTACTGAGATGTATTGTGGATTTGAACAGTAACAGCCCTAACAGAACGAGGTAGATTAGTACCGTCTTATCATTGTCGGCCCACCATCGGGTGATGATGCTCTGTGTCAGGCAATCCAATAATCTCTCCAGATCTTCCTTTTCCCATGTCACAGCAGTTATCTCCCTTCCATCTTGACCCTGTTCTTTTGATGAGATAGATGTCAGGGAGGCCTTCCTGGTCAGGGTCAAGGTCATGTCACCCGACCCCTTGTACATGAGGAGCATGGCGTTGAAGAGTGTGGTGAACATCAACGCGGGCAATGTCGTTGTCGGACGTTTCTTAACGAGACTTGTCAAGGACAGCAGTCCCCTGATGGTCATATATTCCTGTATCTGGACAGATGGAAAAATACACAAGTTGAAAGGATGATGTATTTAAAAATACTTAGTGCTTAGAGGATCCTTTACAACACTAGATACCAGTCTGTCCTGGAATCTCCAAGTGAACCGACCCTGGACATAGTCTGTCTTGAAATCCCCATATATGACCAAACAGAACACATGATCAATTTTACTGACCTGAGCATAATCATCTGCCTTTGCTGTAATGAAGAAAGTGTTGAGCAGCGCCTGAATGGTCGGGTCAGTGTGGCTGGCATCAGGCAGGTTGTCCCTCAGGGTGGCCAGCACCTTGTTGACACACAGACATACATGCTGCAGCCTGGAACAATGATTGGTGTCACATCAAATTGTAGTCAACTCAAATGTATGAAATCAGTGACTTTGTACAGTCCAGCACGGCAACACAAACCCTGCCATTGTTAACTTATGGGAAACAGTAAACATAGCATGTTGCTTGGTTAGACAATCAAATGCCATGGATTCACATGCAATATATTTACTTGACATTAACTTGTGCAAATCACTTTCATGTCTCTTGTTACCCTTGTCAAGTCAAGTTTTGTGAAGAGAGTTTTAGAAGCATGTGTCTTGCATTACAGAAGGACTACTAACTGATGTACACCTATGTACTTACACTGGCAGTGTCTGAGTACGAGATGAGATCAAGGTCCGTGTAAGCTCTGCTGACTTCTCCAGGAAACCGCCACTGCGTAGATATGCCCCGGTCTGACGCACTATCACGTACAGGCCAAAGTTGAGAGCTTCATGCACTTCCTCACGTGTTCTATCTGCAATACGACATTGACCACATACAACGGCAGCCTTCTTCAAGAGGTCCTGGACAGACCAGCAAATACAGACCACATACTTTATTCAGGTCACCTACATGATGACAAATTGTATTTGAAACCCCAGTAAACATGAATACAACTGGTCAACGCATACTGATCATCATACCTTTTAAATCTGGTAATTCTCGACTTTATTGTGACAAGGTATTTGGTGTCAATGTAACTTAGTGTAGACTTACCTGTTACACAGTAGTCAAGAGTGAGTGAGTGAGTGAGTGAGTGAGTTTAGTTTTACACCGCTTTTAGCAATATTCCAGCAATATCACAGTTGGCGGACACCAGAAAAGGGATTCAGACATTGTACCCATGTGGGGAATCAAACCCAGGTCTTCAGCATAATGAGCAAACGCTTTAACCACTAGGCTACCCCATCGCCCCTTGTAGTCAGAGATGATGTAGACATACTTGTGATGATGTAGTGGTTGTCTTCCTAGACTTACCTGTGACGGGGTAGTCACTGTCGATGTAGACTGTGAACAGAGCCAGCATGAGGTTCTCCACCGAGTCCAGAGAGGGACACACCTGCAGAATACATCCATGACAATACAGTCATCCCCACACTGGCAGGGCTAACCCACATTGGTAGGACATCCTGCTATTCATCACCACTAGCCCTTCCGAAACATGCACCACCTCTATTTAGAACAAGCATTGTCACTAAGATGACATAATCTCCCGCCGCAAATTATCAAATCAAACTAAAAAAGTAATGAAAGTTTAAGATGAAGTTAAATGTCAACAAAAACATGACCAGTCAACCTCTCATGATATCTTGCTCTTTAGTTGTTCAAACACACAAATATTTTCAAGACTGACTTTGACCTTGACATGAATGCCATAGTGTATGAAATAAGCAAAAATGGTACTAAAGAAATTGCTTATTGAAAAATATTCAAGGGAAATCTTGAAAGTCCATGAACAAAATCCAGTGAATTCAGGTTGACATGCTGAAATCTTCAAAGTGTCGCAGTGACCTTGAAAATTATGTGAAGGTCACCAAAATTGACTGGGAATGTGCCTTCATTATATGAAGCTTGTCGTCAAAATGGAAAAAATCCAGTGAATGTTTTTTGCGATATCTTGCTGACTATCTTAACATGCAATTTAACTCGGTGAAATCTTCAAAGTGTCTTTGTGACCTTGAAAATTAAGTGAAGGTCACCAAAGTCAACTGGGCCTTGCACTTTGCCTAGATGAAGCTTGGTGTCAAATATGAAAAAAGTCCAGTGAATGGTTCTTGAGATATCTCGCTGATCATCTTAACATGCAGGTTAACACACTGAAATCTTCAAAGTGTCACTGTGACCTTGAAAATGTGACCCAAAATCAACTGAGCCCTGGAAATTGTAGTGAAGGTTCTTGACCAAAATGACATGCACTTAATATGGTGTTGCCCCTGAAAATTAAGTGAAGGTCACCAAAATCAACTGGGCCCTGCGCCTTCCCTAGATAACATTTGGTGTTGAATATGAAGAAACTCTAGTGCACAGTTCTTGAGATATCTCGCTGACAAGGTTAAAACGTTAAAGTCCCCTTGTGACCTTGAAATGAAGGTCAAGGTCACCAAACCTGGCTGGGACCTATCTTATATTGTGATGAACCTAGGTACCAAATATGAAAAAATCTAGTCAACGGTTCTTAAGATATTCCAATTCGTACTTTGCATGGACGGATCGGAGCCTAATACTATATCCCCTAATACTATATAATAATACTATAATAAACTACACAGATTCACTGTTTGCACATTTTGGATTCATATCTACGTACACCGAAAATGACATAGTCAATCCTTAATAGGTAAGGCTACCCAATTATAACAATAGCAACTTTCATACTTCTTATGGTTACACCCCAGGTTGTATTATCAACATGGTAGAGACTGACAGTCCAGCAAGATCACTCACTAGACTGGATTCACGACCAGGACTCTTGCTTCAGCCAAGATACAATGTACAACACACAACAGCATCATCTTACATACATAACATTTTGTTCAGACATACCATTAAGTTCTGGAAGAATGTCTTTGTTGCCTTGGCAACAAATGTGACAGCCTTGTCAACTCTGTCCTTGCTCCCGCTGGTGCCAAGTTGCTGCAGAGTCTTATAGATGACCCCTAAAGTCTGCTCGATACACGCGGCATCAAACACAGGACCTGGTGGCAGAAGGACGTCAATCAAACACTGTGCTCCAACACTACTACACTCTGCACTAACTGCCTTATACTATGTCAATATGTGTTTGCTAGTGTAGAGCGCCATCAGATACTAACATGTCACTGTGCTCCAACACTACTACACTAACTGCCTTATACTATGTCAATATGTGTTTGCTAGTGTAGAGCACCATCAGATACTAACATGTCACTGTGCTCCAACACTACTACACTCTGCACTAACTGCCTTATACTATGTCAATATGTGTTTGCTAGTGTAGAGCATCATCAGATACTAACATGTCACTGTGCTCCAACACTACTACCACTCTGCACTAACTGCCTTATACTATGTCAATATGTGTTTGCTAGTGTAGAGCATCATCAGATACTAACATGTCACTGTGCTCCAACACTACTACACTCTGCACTAACTGCCTTATACTATGTCAATATGTGTTTGCTAGTGTAGAGCATCATCAGATACTAACATGTCACTGTGCTCCAACACTACTACACTAACTGCCTTATACTATGTCAATATGTGTTTGCTAGTGTAGAGCACCATCAGATACTAACATGTCACTGTGCTCCAACACTACTACACTAACTGCCTTATACTATGTCAATATGTGTTTGCTAGTGTAGAGCACCATCAGATACTAACATGTCACTGTGCTCCAACACTACTACACTAACTGCCTTATACTATGTCAATATGTGTTTGCTAGTGTAGAGCGCCATCAGATACTAACATGTCACTGTGCTCCAACACTACTACCACTAACACTAACTGCCTTATACTATGTCAATATGTGTTTGCTAGTGTAGAGCACCATCAGATACTAACATGTCACTGTGCTCCAACACTACTACACTAACTGCCTTATACTATGTCAATATGTGTTTGCTAGTGTAGAGCATCATCAGATACTAACATGTCACTGTGCTCCAACACTACTACACTCTGCACTAACTGCCTTATACTATGTCAATATGTGTTTGCTAGTGTAGAGCAGCCATCAGATACTAACATGTCACTGTGCTCCAACACTACTACACTCTGAACTAACTGCCTTATACTATGTCAATATGTGTTTGCTAGTGTAGAGCATCATCAGATACTAACATGTCACTGTGCTCCAACACTACTACACTCTGAACTAATACTATGTCAATGGGTTTACAACATATGTCAATATGTTTTTCAGTCATATCATAAACTAACCCTGATCTGATACTGGTCTTAGATCACTGTGCTCCAACACTACTACACTCTGAACTAACTGCAATACTATGTCAATATGTTGTTCACAAACCAAGAAATATGATCAATGGGAGTCCGTGCAGAGAGCCAATTACTAACAACTACAGTGATCAGAGGTTTCTGAACCTGCCTGTAGAGCTGTGTCTGCCCATGACTTGTGTCATGTCACTTACATTGCCACTAGTCTAGAAGTTTGAGGGGATGCTTTTGAACTCAACACAGCAGTAAAGTGCAGTCAGCAAATATTTTAATGTTCTCTGGGTCTACAGTGAAACCACTTCAGTCTAGAACAACCTTGATGACAGCTCCTCCTTGACATTATCCTCTGAACCATGATTCCACTATATCGTGATCCAACTTGTTTGTTGTTTAATGCCAGCAATATTCAAGCGAAAAGATTGCAATCGGTAAATAATCAAGTCTTCACATGGGGGTATTTCATTTTCAAATTATGTATGTCATAATAATGTCCAGTCATAAATATTCTATACACACAAAAAAGGTTGGTCCTGTCTTGCCTTGAACAAATACTTGATATCAAGGATTGATAAACATGATAAACCTCACCTTCATTGACAGAAGCTGAGAGGACGAGAGTTATCAGAGACCAGCCATGTTCAAGGACGTCTTGGTTTCCTGAGCTCTCCGTAGTCATTTTACAGATGTCATCACCAAGGGAGATAATCCTGTCAGTCAGCACAGAACTCTTCAGCCATGAAGACACAGATGGTGTGGAGTCATGTATCTCTAGGGCCTTGTTGATGAGGTTACACAGCAACACTGGACTTGTCAGACCCTGGAAATATAACAAAAGTCATTTCATGGACATTTTTTTCATTTTCATAACATTACCACTGATTCTGGATGGTGTAACTCTACAACAAAGACTGTCAAGAGACTGGTCATAATCTAAATTTTTATCTAAATTCTAAGTTTTATCTAAATTCTCAGATAACAACAGATAAAACAAAACTGAACACTTATTTTAGTTACTATGGTGACAGTAATTATAAGGGATACTGACGACAAAAAGAACTTAAATCGTCAAAACATACTCACCTTGGCAAGCTGTGTCATGATATCTAAGGCTTGACTGTCCTCCACCTGTGACAGACACACCATTACCACATCCAACAGACACATGACATGGTCCTCCTTGTTTGACGTCTGCTCCTTGGTAACCCATGGAATGATCACACCACTCACAAAACTTAGGTAAACATTGGTCCCTGCTTGCAGTGAGGAAATAGTCAACAGTGTCTCTACCATCTCGTTTGAGTTGTAAAGATTAAATATCCTTGAAAACACACTGAGAAACTCCACACTCTCAGCTTGAAAACATTTTGTAAACACATAGCTTGACACAGAGTTCACAAACACCTGACTGGAATCAGACATCTCGACAGGACCAAGCTTCAAGTCTTCAACAGTCAAATCATCAGCAAACTTAACCTTGTCTGTCTTGGCCTTGGTGACCATGTTGGGTCTGAGCTGCCCTGACACAAGGGAGAGAAGTCTGCTGGAGAATGTGTGAGAAGTGTGGGGTGTTGGTCAGGGTGGGGTAAGTTTCCTCGATCATCTGCAGCAGGTGTCTGTAGCACATGGAGCTCAGTGACACCCCGCTGTCCGTCCTCTCCAAGGCTGTCGTGAGCTGGGCAAACATGCCATACAGGGGAGTCTTGTACAGAGTGGACTTTGTCTCCATCAGGGATGACTCCACTACCGGCAGCACCTGAACACAACAACAACGTCAACTATAGCAAGGAGTCAGTTTGTATTGTGGGTAAAGTGTTATAAACTGATTTCTAGTTAAATGGATATATGTCAAGGTCATGGGTTATTTTTACATTTTTTTAGTGTGAGATAATCTGGGTGTTTGGTCTTATTATGTAATAATCTGAGTGTTGAGTGACTGTCAGTAGTCATGGTGGCATTAAAAGCAGAGATCAGGAAGAGAAGGCCATGTCAGGTTGTTGGAGTATATGCAATATATCCCAATGTACATGAGTGAAGGCTATGTGAGGTTGTCGGAGTATATGCAATATATCCCAATGTACATGAGTGAAGGCTATGTGAGGTTGTCGGAGTATATACAATATATCCCAATATACATGAGTGAAGGCTATGTGAGGTTGTCGGAGTATATGCAATATATCCCAATGTACATGAGTGAAGGCTATGTGAGGTTGGTTGTCGGAGTATATGCAATATATCCCAATGTACATGAGTGAAGGCTATGTGAGGTTGTCGGAGTATATGCAATATATCCCAATGTACATGAGTGAAGGCTATGTGAGGTTGTCGGAGTATATGCAATATATCCCAATATACATGAGTGAAGGCTATGTGAGGTTGTCGGAGTATATACAATATATCCCAATGTACATGAGTGAAGGCTATGTCAGGTTGTCGGAGTATATGCAATATATCCCAATGTACATGAGTGAAGGCTATGTGAGGTTGTCGGAGTATATGCAATATATCCCAATGTACATGAGTGAAGGCTATGTGAGGTTGTCGGAGTATATGCAATATATCCCAATGTACATGAGTGAAGGCTATGTCAGGTTGTCGGAGTATATGCAATATACCCCAATGTACATGACTGAAGGCTATGTCAGGTTGTCGGAGTATATGCAATATATCCCAATGTACATGACTGAAGGCTATGTGAGGTTGTCGGAGTATATGCAATATATCCCAATATACATGAGTGAAGGCTATGTGAGGTTGTCGGAGTATATACAATATATCCCAATATACATGAGTGAAGGCTATGTGAGGTTGTCGGAGTATATACAATATATCCCAATGTATATCCCATGACATGACTGAAGGCTATGTGAGGTTGTCGGAGTATATACAATATATCCCAATGTATACATGAGTGAAGGCTATGTGAGGTTGTCGGAGTATATGCAATATATCCCAATGTACATGAGTGAAGGCTATGTGAGGTTGTCGGAGTATATGCAATATATATCCCAATGTACATGACTGAAGGCTATGTGAGGTTGTCGGAGTATATGCAATATATCCCAATGTACATGAGTGAAGGCTATGTGAGGTTGTCGGAGTATATGCAATATACCCCAATGTACATGACTGAAGGCTATGTCAGGTTGTCGGAGTATATGCAATATATCCCAATGTACATGAGTGAAGGCTATGTGAGGTTGTCGGAGTATATGCAATATATCCCAATATACATGAGTGAAGGCTATGTGAGGTTGTCGGAGTATATGCAATATATCCCAATGTACATGAGTGAAGGCTATGTGGGTTGTCGGAGTATATGCAATATATCCCAATGTACATGACTGAAGGCTATGTCAGGGTTGTCGGAGTATATACAATATACCCCAATGTACATGACTGAAGGCTATGTCAGGTTGTCGGAGTATATGCAATATACCCCAATGTACATGAGTGAAGGCTATGTGAGGTTGTCGGAGTATATACAATATATCCCAATGTACATGACTGAAGGCTATGTCAGGTTGTCGGAGGTTGTATCCCAATATACATGGAGAAGGCTATGTCAGGTTGTCGGAGTATATACAATATACCCCAATGTACATGACTGAAGGCTATGTCAGGTTGTCGGAGTATATGCAATATACCCCAATGTACATGACTGAAGGCTATGTGAGGTTGTCGGAGTATATGCAATATATCCCAATGTACATATATCCCAATATACATGACTGAAGGCTATGTCAGGTTGTCGGAGTATATGCAATATATATCCCAATGTACATGACTGAAGGCTATGTGAGGTTGTCGGAGTATATGCAATATACCCCAATGTACATGACTGAAGGCTATGTGAGGTTGTCGGAGTATATGCAATATATCCCAATGTACATGACTGAAGGCTATGTCAGGTTGTCGGAGTATATGCAATATATCCCAATGTACATGAGTGAAGGCTATGTGAGGTTGTCGGAGTATATGCAATATATCCCAATATACATGAGTGAAGGCTATGTGAGGTTGTCGGAGTATATGCAATATATCCCAATGTACATGAGTGAAGGCTATGTGAGGTTGTCGAGTATATGCAATATATCCCAATGTACATGAGTGAAGGCTATGTCAGGTTGTCGGAGTATATGCAATATATCCCAATGTACATGAGTGAAGGCTATGTGAGGTTGTCGGAGTATATGCAATATACCCCAATGTACATGACTGAAGGCTATGTCAGAGGTTGTCGGAGTATATGCAATATACCCCAATGTACATGACTGAAGGCTATGTCAGGTTGTCAAGAGTATATGCAATATACCCCAATGTACATGAGTTAAGGCTATGTGAGGTTGTCGGAGTATATGCAATATATCCCAATGTACATGACTGAAGGCTATGTCAGGTTGTCGAGATTGTATATGCAATATATCCCAATGTACATGAGTTAAGGGCTATGTGGCAGGTTGTCGAGATTATATGCAATATACCCCAATGTACATGAGTTAAGGCTATGTCAGGTTGTCGATTATATGCAATATACCCCAATGTACATGAGTTAAGGCTATGGCTTTTCGCAAAATGTAAACACTGGCTCGTCTGCCATTTCAAACTGTTAGCGTAACTGTCTACTTCAAGAAAATAAGTAGGTCAGGCGATTCCATTATAGTGTGCCCAGGGGTACAGTATCACGGCACACAAAAACAATAGGCTGGTTTTAGTTGCGTGTGGAGTTGGGATGTAAAACCGAAGATCTCGGTATTACATAAATTGCATTGAATATAAAGTAGTTTGATTTCTTTGGACAGAATATTGTTATGTTGTAATGTTAACAAAATACGAGCGGCACCTACCGCTCCTTTCACAGGCGAGTTCAATTAAGTCTCTCGTCCCATGCGGATTCACGCAGTGTCTTCCGCAGAAGCCGAGGAAGTTCGATTTTAAATGGTTCATGGTAGAATGGAGATAACCCTAGTGTGTTTGAAAATCAGAGACATGCTTTACTGAATTGATGGCGACTAAATATTTCAATTGAAACCTCACGCTACGCGTTCGGTTCCAATTGAAATTTAGTTGCCATCAATTCAGTAAAGCATGTCTCTGATTTTCAAACACACTAGGTTTATCTCCTAATTGAACACTGAGTCTGATACTGTTGTATCTGCATCAATCAGGGGATGTATATTGTGTACAACAGTCTGTGTGTCTTGTTGTATGATACAACATGTGTAACACGGGTTCATGGTCATGAATCTTGATGAAACACGGTACTGCTGGAAATGAGACATCAATAAATGAAAGGTGAAACAAAAGATGTTCTCACAAACCACTGAAAAATCTCCCACTAACTAAAGTTTATCTTCCCTATAGTGGAAAATATTTCTAAATAGTAATTCCTAACTCCTGACTGGAGTTCTATGGACCACTCTGTCCCTCAGTGATAATAAGTTAATGACAATGTTGAGCTATTCAATGCTTTCGTCAGCTACTGACAATGGAAACTGTTACAGTATCGTGCAGTGATTACTCCCAAATGACAATGGACCATAAGTGCTCCCTGAGACGCGCATGCGCAGTGCATAACCATGTGTGTCGAGCAGACGCCATCGTTGGAATGTAACTTGTTTGTTTACATTAAACCTATGAAACTTGACGCCTTGTCATTTCATAACATGGTGTCAGAAGTTGGATACCATAGGAAACCACGCCGATGTCCCAAACGAACTTTGTGAGTGATTCTTTGTCATAAACTGTGATAATTGGCCCGTTATGTCTGGATTCAAGGCGCCTGAGAATTTCAATTTTGAGCGACCTCAGGAATGGCCCGAACATTTCTGTCGTTTTTTCACTTTGTCTAAATACAAGGATGAAGATGGCGAATTACAAGTAAGTTCACTCGTCTATGCGATGGGTAGAGAGCAGAACATATCATGAAGTCTTTTCATTTTCCTAATGAAGATAAAAAGACTCTGTTGAAGCATTTATTTGTCGCTTATATGAACTGGCAGAATATTGCGATTTTGGGGACAAGAAAGGTGAATACATTCGGGACCGAATTGTCACAGGAATCCTAGACTAGGATCTAACACAAAAATTGCAAATGGAGGCAAAACTGGATCTTGAAACAGCCATCCAGATGGCTAGAAACTCTGAAATGATAAAGAGTCAGGGTGCGGACAGAAGTGCCACTAACTTAGACGAAGTTAGAGGGGCCAAGCCGAAACGTCATAACAAGTCTGGTTACCATAGCAACAAGGGACACAGACAAGGTGGATAATGGAGCAGTGTGTTACATGCCCAGCAGCGCGGACATAACAACTCACCACCAACTTGCAGCAAGTGTGGCCACCCACAGCACACAGGCAGAGCCAAATGCCCAGCCAGATTCAAGCGATGTCTAAAATGTCACAAGATAGGACATTTTCAACGTGTGTGTCGCACTAAAGATGTGAATGAAGTGATTGACAAAACAGACTGTGAAACACAAGACTGTTATTTCCTAGGATCTGTCACGTGTGAGGAGACAGACGCTTGGTACATCAACCTAGCGATCGGGGGAAAGCCGGTCACATTCAAGATTGATTCGGGAGCAGACACATCAGTGATCTACGAGGACACATACAATAGTTTTCCACTTAAGCCGAAACTGGAAAACACTCCAAGACAACTTGATAGCCCAGGGGGTAACTGGCATACCTTGGTGAATTTGTCGCCGACACATCCCTAAATGGGGAGGAATACAGTTTTCGTGTGAGCGTTTTAAGAGGACAGGGCAGTTATCTCCTGAGTAGGGGGGTCTCCTCCACAATGGGACTGGTTACCTACAACAATATCTCGTCACGTCACAGAGACACATGCCGATGTTTTTCGGTGAGATGGGACTACTGCAATGCGAGCCCGTCAAGATTACTTTGAAGAAGGATGCAGTTCCCTACAGTCTGGCCAATGCTAGAAGAGTGCCGTTCCCACTCCTAAAGGTTAAAGAGGAGCTGAGGCGTATGGCGAAAGACGGCATCATCGAGGAAGTGACACAGCCCACAGAGTGGTGCGCACCGATGGTACCATTTGTGAAACGCAACAAGATACGAATATGCGTAGACCTGAAAAAGTTGAATGTCGCTGTCAAACGTGAAAGGTACATTCTCCTAACTTTTGAAGACGTCATTCCGAAACTGAACGGAGCACGTTTCTTCTCTAAACTGGACGCATCAAGCGGATTTCACCAAATTCCATTGGATCCAGACAGCAGTCTCCTAATGACCTTCATAGCTCCCTTCGGTCGTTTCTGCTTTGAACAAGTTCCCTTCGGAATTACATCGGCTCCAGAGATCTTTCAGAGGAAGATGTGTGAAGTACTCAAAGGGTTGGAGGGCTCAGAAGCCATTATGGACAATGTCTTGATCTGGGGTCGAATTGTCGAGGAGCACGACAAGCGGTTGAACAGTGTTCTCAAACGAGTCAAACGCTCAGGTTTGAAGTTGAACCGGGAGAAGTGTGAAATCCGGAAAACGTCCATCAGCTACTTTGGTCATGTGATCAGTGAAAATGGAGTCCAGCCTGACCCAGGGAAGACTCAAGCTATCAGAGACCTACCAGCTCCAACAAATATTACTGAACTGAGGCGAGCTATGGGCATGATCAACTATCTGGGATGATTATTGCCAGACCTTTCATCAGTTCTCCGTCCAATGAGTGACCTACTCTAATCTGCTGCAGTATGGACATGGGGTCCTGCCCAAGATGCAGCTTTCTTGAGAGTCAAAGACATGCTGACAAGTCCAGCTGTTATACAGTTCTACGACCTGGAGAAACCCACAGTTGTGAGTGCCGATACAAGCAGCTATGGCCTAGGAGCTACACTCCTACAACAGCACGGCGACCAGTTGTTGCCAGTAGCATTCTGCTCACAGACCTTAACTCCTGCTGAGACCAGGTACTGTCAGATCGAGAAGGAATGCCTAGCGAGTGTATGGGCTTGCGAGAAGTTTGCAAGATACCTGTATGGACTGGAGTCGTTCCGACTACTGACAGACCATAAGCCGCTAGTACCCTTGATCAACAAGTCAGATCTGGATAGAGCACCAATCAGATGCACTCGTCTCCTTATGTGTCTGATGAGATTCAACCCAGTGGCAGAACACGTAGCAGGGAAGAACATGGTGGTAGCGGACATGCTCTCACGGACACCACTGAACTACACAGAAAGTTCCAGTGCAGCGGAAATCCACAACCTGGTAGAGGACCTATGTCGGACCATAAACTCAGATTCAGGAAGCCACGACACAGGACAAGACTCTTCAGCTTGTCATGTCACTGACTAGGAACGGTTGGCCGGCGGCATACAGAGATGTGTCAGTACCAGCACAAGCGTACTATCCAGTCAGAGGTGAACTGTCAGTATCCAGAAACATTCTACTGTACAGAGACAGGACTGTGATCCCGGAAGTGATGAGAACAGACATTCTCGATAGGATTCATGAGGGATACCAGGGACTGACAAAGTGTCATGAACGTGCAGGATTGAGTGTGTGGTGGCCTGAACTCAACCAACACATTCAGGATTAAGTATCCTCCTGTACATTTTGCCAGATCAACCAATCAGCACAGAGAAAGGAGCCACTACAGCCAAGTTCCCTACCCGATCGACCGTGGCAGAGAGTCGCGGCTGATCTATGCACAATCAAGGGACTCCAATACCTTGTGGTGATCGACTACTTTTCACGATATCTTGACGTAGTGTATCTAATGGACACTACATCGAAAGGTGTGACTGGCAAGCTCAAGTGCATATTCTCAAGATGGGGTAAACCAGAAGAGCTAGTTACAGACAAGGGACCGCAGTTCGTAGCTCAGGTGTTTGTGCAGTTCAAGAATCAGTATGGATTCAAACACACCACATCTTCACCCCTCCCACAAGCTAATGGGATGGCCGAAGCCGGTGTGAAAACAGCAAAACAAGCTCTGAAGCAGACTGATCCATTCCTTGCTCTGTTAAGCTACAGGAGCACTCCGATTCAGTCAACGGGGAAGAGTCCAGCACACTTAGGGAGACAACTTCGTGGGACCCTCCCAACGCTAGAGAAGGTGTTGCAGCCTAAGTGGCCAGATTTCCATGCTGTGCGAGCCAGTGATAAAATTCACAAGGAGTGTTCAAGGAAGTTCTTTGACCAACACCACAATGTGAAATTCCTCCCAGAGTTGAAACCTGGTGACGAAGTTCGTCTCCAGATTGATGGGGAGAAAGGCTGGAATACGCCAGGTGTTGTTAAAAAATGTGCCTCAACGTCAAGATCATATGTGATCAGAACACCTTAAGGTGACCTCAGGCGTGATCGCAGACACCTGCAGTTGGTGTCGCCAGGCAGTGTTGACATCACTCCAGAGTATAATGTGTATCCTCCTATCTCTCTGGAACAGAACGCCAACCTCAACACTCTACAGATCGCCGAAAACCAAGTCTCCGGTACGAGAAGCCGGAACCAGCAGCAGTTACCAGTCCACCTGTGTTCAGGACATCCAGTGGCCGAGCCAAGAGGAAGCCACAACGATTCAGTGACTATGTTTAGGGCTTAAGTCATCACAAGATTAGGTTATCAGAATAACCAAGTATTCATATCAGTGACTTTAAAGTTTGCTTGTGCTTAGATGATAAGTCACGAAGAATTTCCATTGGACTTTAAAATGAGCATTTGAATTTCAGTTAAAAGTTAACTGTTTAGCCGTACAGAGGTAAATCGAGTTACTGTTAAACTTCAGTTAATCTTGGTTACAGGTTACAGGTTTACAGGTCGAAAGTGTAAAACCAAAGCAATAAGTAATGCTTACTTATCAGAGATATCTTTATTGTTTGGTCTTGAGTTGATGTTAACCATGGTAACAAGTTATCTCAAAGAAAGGGAGATGTTACAGTATCGTGCAATGATTACTCCCAAATGACAATGGACAATAAGCACTCCCTGAGACGCGCATGCGCAGTGCATAACCATGTGCGTCCGAGCAGACGCCATCGTTGGAATGTAACTTGTTTGTTTACATTAAACCTATGAAACTTGATGCCTTGTCATTTCATAACAGAAACCACTAGACTTGCAAAATCTAGTGCACACAGTATAGCCATGAGTGTATTCGGGCAAGCTGACCAATAAAAAACAAGAACAGATGTTTCCTTCTGTTCTGGAACAAAGGACGTAAATCATAAAGATTTTGTGGATTTTTACTCCATGTGAAATGTGTTTGATAGACATGCATTACCAGGGTTGATTTAGTGAGCCCTGTATATAGCGAGAGTTTGGTGTGTTAATCTTTGTGGTTACATATCGAGATTGAGCATGTAGTTCTTGTCATTGATCACAGCATCACAAATGTCAATATTCTGCAGGTGCCAAAGCTCACCTGACAAAAAGTGACACCTTCACAAACCATACTTCCACGTTACCATATATGGAAAACACAGGCGTGAAACTTATCTATCCAGGGAATGAATGGTAGCCACTTACCTGGTCCAACAACAAACAGTTGATTGTCTCCCCCTGGTTGTCTGCAAGCTCCTTCACAGTGTACTGACAACACTCAAACAATGAAGTGACCAGTGCGGAGCTCTCACTCACACTCTGCTGCACACTCTCGACACCCAGGCTGTAAACAGAAGGGTTGGATGCTGGTCAGTTGGTCGGCGTACACTGTTTGTTATGTTAGTCATGATGCTTCCCTTCAATTTGACTTGACCCTAAAATATACTCAGGGAAACGAATAAGGGAAACGAATAAGGGAACATATGAAAGTACAAGTGTTCCTTTATTCTTTTCCAGGTTTCTTCACAAGGTATGTTTTGCACTGTGAGTGAAATTCTGGAAATAAATAAAGGAACACTTGTACTTTCATGTGTTTCCTTATTCATTTCCATGCGTATATCATGTCTTTCTAAGCACTGTTAAGAAACAACATGATAAGTAACACATGATAAATATGCATATTTTCTTAACTTCACAATATAGCTACATTTCAGTAAGACTTTACGAGGAGGATCATTTACTGGATTACTGAGAAACATCACCTAGTACTGTCAGTAGATGGTAGAAAAACAGCAATCATTAGATTAAGGATGTAGAGCTGCTGTCAAATTGTTGCACCTTACTATCGCAAGTCAGATGACATTTTTTATTCTCTACATAACACATTATCAAAGGACAATATCACACTTTTACAGGAAACCAGAGAATAATTGATACTTGATAGATCCATGGATATTCATAGTCAACCACTATGCCACTCCACCACCTGTAAATCTGTTAGCATTGTACCCTTTTCAAGTCAACTAAGAAATACTACAGCAGAACCTACCCTGTCCTGAAGCAGGTGAACAGTTCCATGTAGAACTTCTTGGACTCTCCAGACAGACTTCCTGGAATCTGGCTCAAGAGTGGCAGAAGATTGGGGCCAATAACTGAAGCATTTCCATGGCAACCATTTTCCAACAAAGTGCGTAACTTGGGCCAAACTGCTTTGGTCCATGACACATGATTCCAGGAATCCTACAACAACCAAGTCCTAGTTCATGACATTTCACATGACGCCATTCTCAGGTTAATAATTGAAGTAAATGCTGCAGACTTAGTTCCCAGTTGTAATTGGCACAATCATTTCTACAGAAAAAACAATTCAGCATTGGCAGCCATTCTTGTAAACAAGAAGGAGTGAAATCAATTATGTAACCAGGGACATGACAATGAAGTCAGCATGAAAAACACAGGTTACAAGTATATCAACATGGGAAGCACTAAATGTAACTACTAATTGTACTTTCAACATTAATTAGCATAACTTATCAGTATTTCAGCTTGAAAGGTATTACTGGAGGGCACTGGCATATATCAGTGAAACCATGGAAACTCACAGGCAGGAATTTGACCAATGAGAGGACAGCTTCCCAGAGAGCTGAACAGAGGACTGGATCTGAACTGTCAATGTTGTGCAATATAAGGGGAGATAACTTGGTGATGTACTCCTGAGCAACGTTTGGCAATATCTGACACAGGCTGGCACAGAATGAATACTGGGCACTCTTGATCTGTAACACATTTAACATGGCAGAATATTCAACATGGAAGCATAGTCCACACAAGAAGTTGTAATAGCTTTGGCATTAAAGGATTATAACCATGGTACCAAATAAATATTTAGTGAAGTTCAAAGGCAGTTTACCAAAATTGTAACAGGTTATGAATTAAATTCTGCTGGGAGATGCTAAATAATAAAATAGAAATGTGTAAACATTGTGTAATCAATAATATTACAAATGCATCACAGCCCTTAAATAAGCCTAGCAAGTTACCAGCATCAGTAAATACCATCATCAATGAACAATGCCACCAGAATACAATACTGTCCACATAATCAGCATTGTCACACATGAAAATTTACATGATCCCCTAGCTTTCACTACAAGCACACTGGGAACATACTAAGCCTTGGAATGAGTGAAACTAGATCACCAATGACTGTGAAGTCAGTTCCAACCACAAGACTTACACTGCTGACAGTGGATTTGGAGTGTTTCCAGAACTTGCCCTCCTTCAACAGTCCCTGCATGTGTTCAGTGAGAGCATCGGGCGATGCTGCAGGGAGGGACAACAGCAACTTCCTCAGCGCCAGGAAGGACGATGTAACGACACGGCTGTATCTGGTCTCCATTTCCTCCTGGGTACTGGTCCTAGAGATAATCATCTCTCACAATGATCATTTTTGTTGGAGGCAAGATGTATTTACTGCTAAACATACTGTGAGAAAGGATGTGTTTGACACATTTTATCACATTATTTTTGAGGGCATCCAACATGTCAGGAGAACAACTGCACACAGGGACATTCTCTGGCCAGAAGTCCCAAACTGTAAGCCTCCCCAAGCTGACACCCCCACCCCCTTTGCTGTCTCCATCATCACTAACTTACCTAGGCTCACTGAGAGTGGCTGGTGTCTGTGAGGTCAGATTCTCCACCAAGAACTGGAACAACAGAGAATGTGATTGTGTTACTCCACATCAGCCTCACTACTGATGAGATTAACTACAGTTAAAGTGTTTGATTATGGAGGATCTACTCACTACCACTGGAGTGAAGTTCTTCAAACATGTGTTAATCTGATAACTCAAGCTACAGAAATATCAACAATATGACATGGTCACATCAAAATCAAGATGTTCTTTACTAACAGCTCCCACCTTACTATACATCCCCATTACAACAACACATGATGGTAAAATACAGAACCTTACCAAGAGCTGTTCACCTAATGTCGACATACCTCAGTAATGTCAGTCTTGCAGTAGTCAATGGCATCTGTCTGTTTGGCTGGAGGGAATGCTGACTGGAAGGCCTGAGTGGCTGATGTTGATACAGTTGGGTACGTATCACACTGGCTCAGTAGCCAGCTTCCCATCACACTTTTCAGGTAGGGGGCGATGTTGCGACGTACCCGGGATACAAGAGTCGTCATGGCCTGCTGGGTTGCCTCCCGCACCCGATGATCCACATCCTGCAAACAATGATGTCTGTGAAATAGTCCAGTCAAATTTATTTAAGTTTACTCCACAGTGAGTGAGTGGTGTTTATTATTGCTTTGAACAGCAACACAGTTGTATTAAAGTGTGCCGCCTGGGTGTGGGACAGAAGTCTGAGGTAACATTGAAGCATGCCGCCTGGATGAGGGACAGAAGTCTGAGGTAACATTGAAGCATGTCGCCTGGATGTGGGACAGAAGTCTGAGGTAACATGGAAGCATGCCGCCTGGATGAGGGACAGAAGTCTGAGGTAACATGGAAGCATGCCGCCTGGATGAGGGACAGAAGTCTGAGGTAACGCAGGTCTGGTGAAACACACAAGCACAGATATTTTCCTGACAAACCTAGGAATAAACCGGGGACAAACCAGGTGCTGAACCAACAATCAAAGGTTTCTTGCAACTATTCCACAATGAGGATGATACACCAGACATACTTCCCACTGTTAAAAGGAGAGCTTCGATGAAATGTCCTATCAACGTCTGGACCGAAAAATATAATATAAATTGGATTTGTTATGTTGTTTGTCACAGTACTTTATATCATGTTTGTTTGTGTAACAGCTATAATACAATGACGGTTATCAACCAATTGCTTTCTTTGTGAATAAGGATACAGTTTCTTAAAGTTTTGTAAAATATGTGGATAGTGGTTATTTTTCCATCAGTCTTTAGGAAGTACATGAAAGCAAGACTTTGTGAGGAGCAATCACAAATCTTACAATGGACATCTTGTTGTATATTCTTGGCCAGAATGGCAGAACTCCTTTCAAGCATTCCTCTCCTTTTTCTTCACAAAGACCTGCAAACTCCTGGAGAGCCTGGAAGCAGAAAAAGCTCATCAGTGTACCAGTGAACAAAAGAACAACAAACCAAAGTATGATAATCAACAGCTTCACAAACAACCTGATGCAGGTGTGGTTGGTAAATTTTCAAGATATAATTAGCCATAAAGAAATTTAAAATTTCATACCATGAAATTTCATGATACATTTTACAATTCACATATTTCCAAAATTATGACATTGCATTGTGGTTTCATAATTCTCACTAGCTTGCACCACCCACCTTGATTTTGGTTGTACTGTCCCTCTTGGATAATTTTCGGAGCACCATTCTGAAGTCTGAGTCCAGACTGCTATCGACATCATCAAATGATTCGCTGGCCGGGACGTATGCAGGTGATCCCATAGATCCAAACCCTATAAACCCAGTTCTCCCTGCACCTGTCTGGGCCAACAGCTCTGCAGCTTGACTGCTGCTTGATGGCTGCAATCATGGAAGTGTTATCTCAAGAACCATGAATGAAAAATTTATAACAAAATAAACTTAAAAACTTCCGTCATAGATAAGTAAACAGGCCCACAATAATAAAGGATGTTACCATGAATGAGTATGTTGACTCCATCTTTGGCAATGCTTTACATTTTAGCAATATCATGGCAAGGAACATCAGAAACAGGTACACATATTATTGGGGAAATCAAACCCAGATCTTCAGTGTGATGAACAAATCTTTTAACTACTAGGCTCAGCTACCACTCCTAGATACAATGACCATTTCAGTTTGACACATCACTCTGAGAAAAGACGGCAAAACTGAATTTTATCATGTTTATATGGATTTGGGTAAGAGTTCCGCCCGTAACCCCCGCTTGAAATGTATTCTATTTATTAGGATTATTTCGAGGGTTTAGGGTTACGTTTGGGGTTAGATTTTTGGGTTAGGTTTAGGTTTAGGGGTTTAGGTATAGGCTGTTTATAAAAAAAACATAGGCGTATATTCTTAGGCATATAATGATTAAAAAAATACGGGGGTATTACGGGTGGAAATCTTTCCATCTGGATTTGTCCTCGGGATTATGAATATGACTATCTGCCAATGCCACCTTGGCTTACTTTAGTTGAAATTCGAGGATGAGGATGTCAGAATATGGTAATCAACAGTAACCAATGACTGTTAGTGTTAGTGGAATGGATCGGCAGTACCACAAGCAAGACCAGTAAGTTGAGTAACATACTTTGACGTTTCCCTTCGTACGCTGCGCTCCTTTCTTCCCTCCTGACGATGGCATTTTCTTCGGTTCACTCTGCAACTGTTCTCTATAAATTAACTCTGAGGCAATACACCGCTGACAGTGTCTCAATCTGTTTATACTTTAACTTTCAATATGTTAACGCAATCTTCATGGTCGCGGCCATCTTACCGGAAATTGTAACGAGTGCTTATTTTACTGTGATGGTGGATCCATACAGACGTTTTCACAGACATTCATACTCTTAATTATGTGACACTTTTGATTACCACCATAATACCTAGTCTGTATGTAAAGTTGATGACAAAACGAGTTCCCTAATCAATTGTAGATGTTGAACCAAAATACACCACACTGACTGATCCCTACCGAACTTCAGTTGCTATAAATGTAGGATTGGTATTAACCCGAAACGATATGACACACCACGGCTGGACATTCCATATGAATCTCCCGCCAAAGCAACAGTTTCTACTTCATCGATAAAGAGTGTGGCAAAAGTGGTCTTAGGACTGTTTCCTCTGACTCCCCTCCCCTAGTTCCTCATAGATACTGTTGTATTGTTTTTTAAAATTGTGTAATTTTGACATTTTTATCCAGGAACTGGACATATTCTATTTTTGCACATAACAAAATCCCATGTCACTTAACTATTATTGTTTTATTAAATAATCCTTTTTTTCTGTTTCACCAGAAATAGGTGGTTTTGCATATAGAAAATAGTGTGTTATCAGGAAGTTACTTCAAGGTTCAACAGATCTATATAAATACAATTAACAATTATTAAGTGTATACAGAGACTATATGGTCTCTGGTGTATAACAGTAACACTCACTAACTAAAGATGAGATGAAATCTGCTCTCAGTATACTGGAACAAGAATCTGAGGGAAGATCAAGCTGACATCTAAATCTACACGTAATCATACAGCATCACTTCAGTTGTGTGTGGATATAATGGCTGTCAGTATCTACAGACAAAAATGGTGTGCTGGATACCCAAAAATGATGTGACCCTTTTATGAGAATCAACAGAGTCAGAGTTTTACACAGACATTGAAAAATGTCCACCATGATGTCTTTGTTGTTCTGCTGATTTCTGTTTACAGTCAGAAGATTTAAATAACTTATTGTATTCTGTGGAGTTATTTGGATCCAAGGTTGACTTATCAAAATTTTTTATTGCATCAGGTATGACTACAAAATGGTTGAGTAATGCAGAAATCATGCAAAATGTAAAACCCTGTGGTGCTACCGTAATTATCCAGTGGAGTGAAGTCTAAGAGTGTGAGGGTTCTATTCTGACAAAGTTACCCTACAGGGGGTTGTTCTGCCATTGCAAGACTACATCATAACAAAAGACATCATCACATATAATAATTTATTTTACAAAAATATATATTCCTTTCCGTATTATTGCACACTTCCCTTTAGCATCATACACCAACTGGAAGCAACAGGGATGTGTATTCCATCAACATTATCAAAGCCCAACAGCTAAACGCTGCAGTGCTTGAGAGACGGTCAAGCCGTGGTCAGTGCTGTTGATCACTGGACTGTCTGGTCAAGGCTTGATTACTTACAGACCGCCGCCATACAGCTGGAATATTGCTGAGTGCAGCATTAAACAACAAACAAACAAAAGCCATGGTGAGAATGTCCACAGTAAGAAGCTGTTAATACATCACTATTTTCTTCTTAAACCAAATTGTTGTGCTTAATATTATGTGTCACAATTACAGAAAAATGACAATCTGCAATAGTACAGTAGAATACAGAACAAATTTAGGGATAACCACTGCTTGACAACGGAACAAGAATCTGTATCGAAATGTCGTGCTCACAAAATAATAGAAGTTGTTATCCATAAAGTTTGTTCTATATTGTACTTCCCAACTTCTAAAATGCCACTCAAAGAAGTTAATAGTACAGTACCCTTTTAATCTTACAGAAACATTCTGCTATGGATTAACAATTTACCACAGACCATTCCCTGATGCAGGTACTGAATAAATACCTCGTGACGACCCCTCTGGGCCATTTACCCATCCTCTGAATCCCCACAACCCCCAAGTGTGGTGGATCAACTGTAGATACAGACAAACCCCCCCCACCCCCACCCCCCAAGTGTGGTGGATCAACTGTAGATACAGACACCCTTGTTACAGACGTGGAAGTTCAATCAAATGTTTGTGGTTGGCAGTTTGTATGTAGGGTTTTGTTTCAATATCACTTAATGGTGTTTCAAAGGAATAATATATGTTTAGAAATAAGTGCTTTTGACCAAGTAAAAAGCAAGGGTTTATTTATTTTTAGGGTTTGTCAGACCCGTTTTGTTTTCAAGGGTGGCATCGGTCTATTCCAGGAACTATGGTACATCATACACATGTGTCAAGGAAATATGGTTTGTTTTAGACACAAGATCTAAAAGTTAGGGAACATATTGACACTGTCACACAACATCTGAAAGTCAGTGAACATGTCGACATTGTCACACAACATCTGAAAGATAGTGAACATGTTGACATTGTCACACAACATCTAAAAGATAGTGAACATGTTGACATTGTCACACAACATCTGAAAGATAGTGAAGTACATAACAGAGTGATAGGATCGACTTCAACACACAATTATCACATTTCACAATTCAGTAGCAGCTTTATGCATTGAATTATGTGTTAGTAAGACAAGCAATGCATCTTTAACCAGCTTCATACTCCAAGATGGAAGAAAACTGTCATCACAACCTGCCACTATGTTGACTGTTGGTAACACACACAGCCATTATCTCCGTTCTGCACTGGAAGCGGACATGAAACTGATGAACACTTTAACAACTCCATAGCTCTCCTCCCCTCATCACACATGGTGCTTCATGACTATGTATTTGTGAGAGTTGACCTTGACCTTGTTATCATCATCCCGAGTCTGATGCTTTGTGTGGCCACCGAACCTCTTCAAACTGACAACTCTGAAACATGGTTCATGTGTTCACACCAACATCCCCATTACATATACTTATGGCTGACATATTTAGCATATGTTATTTTATCAGCTTTAGTGGGTGGGCCGGCGCCATGCTGCCCACGTTGCACGTAGGCTGTGTAGATGTCCTGAGACAGCCGGCTGACCGGTGGTGGTTCCACGCCGTATGTACTGTCCAGCTTGAATGCACTGATTGGGTAGCTGCAAAAGACAAAATAGGTTCACAAAGCTGGTGGAGATTTAGTGACAAGGAATAAAGTTTGGAGAAGCATAATGTTTTCATTCCGAAAAAAAAAGTGTTTTCTCTGAAACAGTTGTTATGAGAGGAAAATCTGACTTGGGGTGCAATGACTTACTGAAGTCCTGTATCACTGTCCACCATGGTGACAGTCTCCTGGAAGGTTATTGTCAACATCGGGTAATGTCCTGTGACTAATGTGTCGGATATATTGTTAGGATTGTGTTAAGTGTTGAGGCCTATAGGGCTGGAGTACATTCTAGAACAAGACTGGCTCTCAGTGACTATCACATGTACAATGTATACTACCCATCACAAGTTTAGACTCTCTAGTGTAAATGTAGCCACTTACTTCAGGCAACTGTTCTAAACTAAAGTTTGCAAAATATTCAATTCTGTTTAAAGGTACTGTTTACACATGAACTGATGTATTGTAAAACAAATTCTTAACGTTGAAAAGATTATTGTCATGAGTTCAATAAATCATAAAAAATCAGTGAAAATTGGCAAATTCCTAACGAAACTTTATACCAAAACGCAGCTGTTCACATGCACGATATTTGCACATGCTTTTCAGCAATTTGATGCATGATCCCTTTGCAATTCATCTGCATAAGGTTTGCAATTGCTTCCTCCAGATTAGTGGAGAAATCAATCTTGGATGTAACAATATATATATATATATATATACAACATACAGTGAGTGTTTTAAGTGAGTCTAATCTTTTGATGGGAAGTATATTACACTGGGAACATTGTTACACAATAAATATCACTGCCACACAACAACGTATATGTCAGCCTAGGAAAACATATTGTTTTTTACTAAACAAATCTAATAAGTCAGACTTATAGCCTTCATATGATAATATCAAATGTGAATGAGCGCCATTTTGAAGACTAACCCATGCCCAGATAACGATACAAATGATGGCATGATATACATGTCAGTAGAGAAGGAGCCATATTGTCAAAACATCCATCAGCAGCTGTATTGTCACAAACAAATATTTACTAACAGCAGTCCTTTGAAACTTCCAATTGTGTAATATCATTAACTAAAATTGTCAGTCTTCAGTCTGGTGGTTCACAAGCCCATTCAGCTGTAACATTCTGTACACTCTGTAGTGACAATGAAATCACAAAATACAAGACAACATTGCTGGGTAAAATGGAAAATGTTTTCTATTGAAGTTAGAACCGTCAATGCTGTAGATGTAGGAGAATACAGAATCTTTGATAATGATTGGCTGATCAGAAAGTTCATCTAGTGGAACCTTACAGTATAATGGGATTTCAGGTCCACCCAATGTATGACTTACACCCAATGTATGACTTACAAAAATACAAGACAACATTGCTGGGTAAAATGATGTATGATTAGAACCCGTCACTTACACCCAATGTAAGACTTACATCCAATGTATGACTTACACCCAGTGTATGACTTACACCCAATGTATGACTTACATATCCAAGCCTGGCTTGACCCGGCTCTGCTTGATACAGACGGTGGACTGACAGGGATTTCAGGTCCACCCAATGTATGACTTACACCCGATGTATGACTTACACCTGAAAGCTTGATGTTGATATGACTTACATCCACCCAATGTATGACTTACACCCAAGTAATGACTTACACCCAATGTATGACATACATCCAATGTATGACTTACACCCAATGTATGACTTACACCCAATGTATGACTTACATATCCAAGCCTGGCTTGACCCGGCTCTGCTTGATACAGACGGTGGACTGGTCGGGGGCACTTGTCTTCGGCTCCCTGAAACCCTGTTGGATCTCCACGTACCTGGTTCAGCGGATTCAAGCAGATTACTATATGACAAGTTCACTTTTCACTGAATGAAACAATTAGACTACTCACTACATTATGAAACATTCACAATGACATTTCCTTCTGATGATGATTTTAAGAAATCTCATTAAAAACTTCATTTACCATTTAGTTTGTGTTTCCAAAAGTGACCGCATGGTTCTAAAAGTTAGTAACAACTGTCAAACAATATCTTATTTCAAAATAGTGGCTTAAAATATAATGAACACTCTTGAACACACTCAAACTCTGGTCAGTTGGATCTTGTAAAGTAAACAAAGGCTTACAATGTAATTATCACTGCCAAACAGCATTGCCAGTCTGGTCAGACCTCATCTCAAACTGAAGGAACATTTCACTATTCCTCAAATAATCATCACAGGCAATTGATACTGTCTCTCTAGTCGGCTAGATCTCATTGCACAATCAGCAATGTTTACATTTCAAATACAAAAGTGTAAAAACCACTGGCCCAACAGAAAATGGCCTTGACTAAAGTTTGTGTATGTGCGTTAAGTCCCACCTCTCGTACAGCTTCTTGTCTCTCTTGTTGAGGTCAGTGATGTCTGTGTTGTACACTTTCTTCATGGACGGGAACAGATCCTGCAAGGAACAATGGACTGTTCAAGTTCGGACAAGTCACATATAATGTGGACCAGCGGACACACCACCTGTCTGGAGAGGAGAACATCTGGGTGTTGATCCTATATGAAGGATGCTAAATGATCATACTTGTTGCTACCCTTCTAGCACCTGACAGGCAGCTTTGTGTTGATCCTATATGAAGGATGCTAAATGATCATACTTGTTGCTACCCTTCTAGCACCTGACAGGCAGCTGGGTGTTGATCCTATATGAAGGATGCTAAATGATCATACTTGTTGCTACCCTTCTAGCACCTGACAGGCATCTGGGTGTTGATCCTATATGAAGGATGCTAAATGATCATACTTGTTGCTACCCTTCTAGCACCTGACAGGCAGCTGGGTGTTGATCCTATATGAAGGATGCTAAATGATCATACTTGTTGCTACCCTTCTAGCACCTGACAGGCATCTGGGTGTTGATCCTATATGAAGGATGCTAAATGATCATACTTGTTGCTAACCTTCTAGCACCTGACAGGCATCTGGGTGTTGATCCTATATGAAGGATGCTAAATGATCATACTTGTTGCTAACCTTCTAGCACCTGACAGGCAGCTGGGTGTTGATCCCATATGAAGGATGCTAAATGATCATACTTGTTGCTACCCTTCTAGCACCTGACAGGCAGCTGGGTGTTGATCCTATATGAAGGATGCTAAATGATCATACTTGTTGCTACCCTTCTAGCTCCTGACAGGCATACTTGTTGCTAACCTTCTAGCTGACAGGCAGCTGGGTGTTGATCCTATATGAAGGATGCTAAATGATCATACTTGTTGCTACCCTTCTAGCACCTGACAGGCATCTGGGTGTTGATCCTATATGAAGGATGCTAAATGATCATACTTGTTGCTACCCTTCTAGCACCTGACAGGCAGCTGGGTGTTGATCCTATATGAAGGATGCTAAATGATCATACTTGTTGCTACCCTTCTTCAGCACCTGACAGGCAGCTGGGTGTTGATCCTATATGAAGGATGCTAAATGATCATACTTGTTGCTACCCTTCTAGCACCTGACAGGCATCTGGGTGTTGATCCTATATGAAGGATGCTAAATGATCATACTTGTTGCTACCCTTCTAGCACCTGACAGGCAGCTGGGTGTTGATCCTATATGAAGGATGCTAAATGATCATACTTGTTGCTACCCTTCTAGCACCTGACAGGCAGCTGGGTGTTGATCCTATATGAAGGATGCTAAATGATCATACTTGTTGCTACCCTTCTAGCTCCTGACAGGCATCTGGGTGTTGATCCTATATGAAGGATGCTAAATGATCATACTTGTTGCTAACCTTCTAGCACCTGACAGGCAGCTGGGTGTTGATCCTATATGAAGGATGCTAAATGATCATACTTGTTGCTACCCTTCTAGCACCTGACAGGCATCTGGGTGTTGATCCTATATGAAGGATGCTAAATGATCATACTTGTTGCTACCCTTCTAGCACCTGACAGGCAGCTGGGTGTTGATCCTATATGAAGGATGCTAAATGATCATACTTGTTGCTACTGACCTTCTAGCACCTGACAGGCAGCTGGGTGTTGATCCTATATGAAGGATGCTAAATGATCATACTTGTTGCTACCCTTCTAGCACCTGACAGGCAGCTGGGTGTTGATCCTATATGAAGGATGCTAAATGATCATACTTGTTGCTACCCTTCTAGCACCTGACAGGCAGCTGGGTGTTGATCCTATATGAAGGATGCTAAATGATCATACTTGTTGCTACCCTTCTAGCACCTGACAGGCAGCTGGGTGTTGATCCTATATGAAGGATGCTAAATGATCATACTTGTTGCTACCCTTCTAGCACCTGACAGGCAGCTGGGCGTGTAGTGCACACTGGTCCACTGACTGATGTAATATTGGTACTGCTTTGTGCATACACTTAATATAGGAGTCCTTATTATCATAAACCCCAGAGCTAAGTCCCAGGAACACTGTAACTAGCAGCATTGTTTGTTACCCCAACCACTCCCTGCTGACCACCTGTATAAGCACTTACCTTGAATGATACATAGTTAGATTCTGCTGACTACCTGTATAAGCACTTACCTTGAATGATACATAGTTAGATTCTGACTCTGAATCGTATGGACTTGATGAGTCTGAGCCGAGGTTGACGTCACCTTCCATGTCCGAGTCGTCAGTGCTGCTCGTGCTGCCCTCTGACCCCTGAGAGGTTATGGACGATGTTGAGTCCTTGCCCGAAATATTGGGATTAGCTTCCTGTCTACAAACCAAGTACCAGAATGCAACACCTGAGAACAATGACCCCCTTCCAACAATGTGATCCTAGCACCACAATTTCCATGGTTTCCATATTTCAGGTGAACCATGTGATAGTTGTAGCACTATGATCACATCGAGGAGCCGGCCTGACATTGGCCTCTGTCACCAATGCTAGAGCAGTAAACTAGAGCCAAACTGTACCTTGATATACAGATAAACACATGACGGTCCTGTGTCATAGTTAAATCTAGGAAGCAAACACTGATGTTGTCGTAGGCTTCTGATGCAATATTGTGTTCACCTCAATAGAATCTATGATGAAGTAATAAACATTCACATCTTAAATATCAAAGAAAGAAATTATTATCCCCTCAGTATCAATTTTTAATTAAAAGAATTTGACAAAATACACAGAAAGGAGTTCATTAGAAACAAGCAAGCAGAGATTTTCAAGGAAGGTAAATAATTAAGCAATGAAATGATATTGTCAGAGTAAAATAGAGTTGTCTTGTCCTCATGACCTCCATTTCAACCAGAGCAGTGTCAGCATGGAAACAACAAACTGAGACGAAGGCAGTCGAGGCAAACTACTGTCTGAGAGTGAGAAGAAACATAATCCTTTCTACTAAAAACACAAGTGCAGCCATGTTTCATGTGACATGTTGTCACATACTATCTGCCTACAAACTACACATTACAGAACTTCTGATTATAGATAATAAAATGTGGACAGGGAAAGATGGTATCACACCATCTAGCACTGTCCACATCTTAATATCTATAATTGGCACATAATCGCCAGCACACAAAGTCAGCGATCTAACCCACTCAGACACTGATTTCCACAAAAATGGAAGTCAGACAACCGGTAGTCTAGACCACAGACTTTGTGTACCCCTCTGATAAGTGTATATGGGCACTGTTCCCATGGATGAAAGCTATGAATACACAATGCCATTTAGAAAGTTGTCCAACTTCCATTTTTGTGGAAACCATGATGGCTGAGCAGGTTAGACGGCCAACTTTATGCGCTGGCGATTAGGTGCCTGACTCTGAGGGTGTGGGTTCAAATCCCGGATGGGACTCAACCCAACAAAAAGTACTAGAATCTGTACTTTACTGAGAAAGTGTATAACCAAATATAACATATGCTAAATTTGACCACTAAATGGCATTGTGCATTCATACTCTGTACATGTTGTTAGGGAAGCAACAGTGTGTGATCAGTGGTATCCATGGTTAATGCTGACATCATAAAATGTATATGTTCGGCTTTTATGTAATATACCTCAATCTACTATCATCACTTGATATGCACAAAATATCTGGGTTTTTTTCTCATATTTTAAATGTTACAGAAATTATCACTGGATAAAACCACATATGATTAATTACAGAGTAAACTTACAATAAAATAATTATTGTTTAAACACAAAAACAGATGATTAATTATTGATTAAGATTAGTATTACACTATCTATTATTATTATGATAACTGGACAACTAGGTGCATGGTGTTTCTGTGCACAGAGAAACTTCACAGCATCACTTCTACTTGCAAGTTTCAACATAGGATCTAGGTGTGTGGAGTTTGGAACAACAGGCTAGTGTTGTCATGGCAACCAACCTGGTAATGAAGGCAAGTTGTGTGCTGCTTTGGTTGCGATGGAATGTGGCCACTCTAGAAACAGCATGAAAACTTCACATGCAGAACAAAACAGAAGGTCAAGTTTGGCAACAAACAAAAAGGCAAATAAAAGCATATAGCTTTTGACAGTAAAAGCTTGACTTAAGAACAAAGCATGTCTTTAAAAGAAACTCCAAAAAGAAATCTTCACAAGGTCAAAACTCATCTGATATCGTTGCTGGTATATGCTATGCATATTGCCATCAATACCGTCATGGCTAATGAAAGTAAAGATCTCACTTTCATCCAACACTAGAGGTGGGTAACACGGAGAGAACAAGAAGTCGGTTGCCAGTATGTCCATCGCTAGTATTAGGGTCAAGAATGTGTGTTGGTTTTGTGTTTACTGAGCAACTGAATTCACTTTTTGATAACTGTATATTGAGGTTTCTTTCAGTGGACATCACTTTTTACATTGGAGGTAATTTTATGCAAAGGGTTCTCCTAAAGGCAATTATATTTTACGAGCCACAGTATTACATACATTGACAGTGAATGTTTGGAGCTACTGAGGGAAATACAAAAATCCAAACATATTTACCAATCAAACCTTTCTGAACATATTGCTCTAATATATTAAATAATCTGCTTCCAAAACAGAAATGTTTGCCAACTTTTCATAGAAACCAACAGACATTCCTCAAGTTTTATATAAAAACATGATTATCTGGGGATTAGCGAGTAAGTATTCATACCCAACAACAGACTCTGACAAAAGGTCATTTCTGTAAAGTTAGGTGTAGTTTCCTGTGTCCCATGTTGTTGTGGTATGATACTCCCTGTACAGGTCTCAAACACAGTCCTTGCAAGCTTTCTTCTTCTCATCATTCATTTGCCATCTTTCCAAAGGAGACCACAGATGTATTCGGATATGTTTCAGAATACATCCGTTGTATCTTAAAGAGTCAGTATGAACCTAATCTGTAGCAGCTTACTCTACTCTGCTATTCCCTGAGTGAAGTTTCTGCACACCGTAGATGCAGGCCTATCATGTGACTAGACACTGGTTTGTGTTCGGATCCTATTCACAGTAGATCCATCATATCTCTAAAAATACTGAAAACTATTTAGAAACCAAAACCAGCAGGACAATTTGCAATAAGAAGTCTTACTTTTAGAAATCAAATTTAGATATTGGCAAAAAGTTGTCTATTTATAAATGCTTAAAAATCTGCCCTTTAGAGTCCCCGAATTGAAGACAGGTTTCCTTTTGAAGAAGACAGAAGAATAAAGAATGAGACGACAAAAATGTAGCAGGGAAAGTTACTTGCTTGATTATTATTGTGTCACATGTGTCAGTATTATTGTGTCACATGTCAGTGCTGTGTACGCCAAGTTGTTTAAGGATTCTCAAATATGACACATGACCTTCACCATCGCAGACTGTATCATAAACATGCAACTCAAATAAACCACCACCACCATGACATTATCAACACAAGACAACATGTGCCATTAGAACACCGAGGCATTAACACAAGACAACATGTGCTGTTAGAACACCGAGGCATTAACACAAGACAACATGTGCTGTTAGAACTCCGAGGCAATTAACACAAGACAACATGTGCAGTTAGAACACCGAGGCATTAACACAAGACAACATGTGCTGTTAGAACTCCGAGGGAATTAACACAAGACAACATGTGCCATTAGAACACCGAGGCAATTAACACAAGACAACATGTGCCATTAGAACACCGAGGCATTAACACAAGACAACATGTGCCATTAGAACTCCGAGGCATTAACACAAGACAACATGTGCTGTTAGAACTCCGAGGGAATTAACACTAGACAACATGTGCCATTAGAACTCCGAGGGAATTAACACAAGACAACATGTGCTGTTAGACAACATGTGTCTCCGAGGGAATTAACACAAGACAACATGTGCCGTTAGAACCATGATGGCATTAACACAAGACAACATGTGCTGTTAGAACTCATAGGGCATTAACACAAGACAACATGTGCTGTTAGAACCCTGAGGGCATTAACACAAGACAACATGTGCTGTTAGAACCCTGATGGCATTAACACAAGACAGCTTGTGCTGTTAGAACCCTGACACATTAAAACAAGACAACATGTGCTGTTAGAACCATGGTGGCATTAACACAAGACAACATGTGCTGTTAGAACCATGATGGTATTAACACAAGACAACATGTGCTGTTAGAACCCCGAGGGCATTAACACAAGAACCACGAGGCAATAACACAAGACAACATGTGCTGTTAGAAGCCCGATGGCATTAACACAAGACAGCTTGTGCTGTTAGAACCCTGACACATTAAAACAAGACAACATGTGCTGTTAGAACCATGGTGGCATTAACACAAAGCAACATGTGCTGTTAGAACCATGGTGGCATTAACACAAGAGAACATGTGCTGTTAGAACCATGATGGCATTAACACAAGACAACATGTGCTGTTAGAACCCCGATGGCATTAACACAAGACAACATGTGCTGTTAGAACCCTGACACATTAAAACAAGACAACATGTGCTGTTAGAACCATGGTGGCATTAACACAAGACAACATGTGCTGTTAGAACCATGGTGGCATTAACACAAGACAACATGTGGTGTTAGAACCCCGAGGGCATTAAAACAAGACAACATGTACTGTTAGAACCATGATGGCATTAACACAAGACAACATGTGGTGTTAGAACCCCGAGGGCATTAAAACAAGACAACATGTGCTGTTAGAACCATGATGGCATTAACACAAGACAACATGTGCTGTTAGAACCATAATGGCATTAACACAAGACAACATGTGCTGTTAGAACCATGATGGTATTAACACAAGACAACATGTGCTGTTAGAACCCCAAGAGCATTAAAACAAGACAACATGTGCTGTTAGAACCATGATGGCATTAACACAAGACAACATGTGCTGTTAGAACCATAATGGCATTAACACAAGACAACATGTGGTGTTAGAACCCTGATGGTATTAACACAAGACAACATGTGGTGTTAGAACCCCAAGGGCATTAACACAAGACAACATGTGCTGTTAGAACCCTGATGGCATTAACACAAGACAACATGTGCTGTTAGAACCATGGTGGCATTAACACAAGACAACATGTGCTGTTAGAACCATGATGGTATTAACACAAGACAACATGTGCTGTTAGAACCCGAGGGCATTAACACAAGAACCACGAGGCAATAACACAAGACAACATGTGCTGTTAGAAGCCCGATGGCATTAACACCAGACAGCTTGTGCCGTTAGAACCCTGACACATTAAAACAAGACAACATGTGCTGTTAGAACCATGGTGGCATTAACACAAGACAACATGTGCTGTTAGAACCCCGAGGGCATTAAAACAAGACAACATGTGCTGTTAGAACCATGATGGCATTAACACAAGACAACATGTGGTGTTAGAACCCGGGGCATTAAAACAAGACAACATGTGCTGTTAGAACCATGATGGCATTAACACAAGACAACATGTGGTGTTAGAACCCCAAGGGCATTAAAACAAGACAACATGTGCTGTTAGAACCATGATGGCATTAACACAAGACAACATGTGCTGTTAGAACCATAATGGCATTAAAACAAGACAACATGTGCTGTTAGAACCATGATGGCATTAACACAAGACAACATGTGCTGTTAGAACCCCAAGGGCATTAAAACAAGACAACATGTGCTGTTAGAACCATGATGGCATTAACACAAGACAACATGTGCTGTTAGAACCCCGAGGGCATTAAAACAAGACAACATGTGCTGTTAGAACCATGATGGCATTAACACAAGACAACATGTGCAGTTAGAACCATAATGGCATTAACACAAGACAACATGTGCTGTTAGAACCATAATGGCATTAACACAAGACAACATGTGCTGTTAGAACCCAGACACATTAACACAAGACAACATGTGCTGTTAGAACCCCAAGGGCATTAAAACAAGACAACATGTGCTGTTAGAACCATGATGGAATTAACACAAGACAACATGTGCTGTTAGAACCATGATGGCATTAACACAAGACAACATGTGCTGTTAGAACCCCGGGGGCATTAACACAAGACAACATGTGCTGTTAGAACCCAGACACATTAACACAAGACAACATGTGCTGTTAGAACCATGATGCATTACCACAAGACAACATGTGCTGTTAGAACCCCAAGGGCATTAACACAAGACAACATGTGCTGTTAGAACCATGATGGCATTAACACAAGACAACATGTGCTGTTAGAACCATGGTGGCATTAACACAAGACAACATGTGCTGTTAGAACCATGATGGCATTAACACAAGAACATGTGCAACATGTGCTGTTAGAACCCAGCTTCTTAGGCATTAACACAAGACAACATGTGCTGTTAGAACCCAGACACATTAACACAAGACAACATGTGCTGTTAGAACCATGATGCATTACCACAAGACAACATGTGCTGTTAGAACCCCAAGGGCATTAACACAAGACAACATGTGCTGTTAGAACCATGATGGCATTAACACAAGACAACATGTGCTGTTAGAACCATGATGGCATTAACACAAGACAACATGTGCTGTTAGAACCATGATGGCATTAACACAAGACAACATGTGCTGTTAGAACCATGATGGCATTAACACAAGACAACATGTGCTGTTAGAACCCCAAGGTATTTACACAAGACAACATGTCCTTTGACAACTAAGATGACATCACTATGTTATGAGCGTACAATGATGGCGAGAACACGGCCACCTGCTGCCATGACATCGTCATCCATGACGACATGTATCCATCCAACGTGTCCTTGGAGGGTACTCACCCGCTCTTGTCCTGCTGGGCTGGGTTGGCGGTAGCAGCAGCGATGCGCCGCAAGGTGGAACGGACTTGGATCACTTGCTCCCTTGGGCATGAAGTCTCTGTGGGTAGGATATCAGAACTTCACAGCCATAAACTACTTGCCAGAAATCATCCACAGTTTTTAGTGGTGATATGGTGACAAAAGCTTTAATCAAAAGCAACTGGATAGCCATTCAGACTACATGTTAGAGATATCCCCAACTCCCAAAGCCATGAGATGAAATTTAGACAGAAGTTTGGAAATCTACATGTGTGGGCAGTTCTCATCGGACTACCACAGAACTAAAGTAATTGTACTTTTATAGCCAATCACAATTTTTGTAACTAGTTGCCATTTCAGTATGCTTGTATGCATGTCAGTTTCATATAAGTGTTTCCAGCATGCCAAGTGTGTCAACAACCAGCGGAGCCAACTAGAAGTACCTGCTGCTGCCAACAGACAACAGACATTTATCGGTGCTTCAATCAGTTGGAGCTACTGCCAATCATTACAAATATACAGGTGACAATCTCTGCTGCCACATAACAACAGTTTACTAAGTAAGGAATAAACTTATGTCTTCATCTCACTTGATGGAGCTTGTCATGGACATGCAGTAGTGATCGTCAAGTGAAGTGAGCTCGAATGGCCGATAGTACTCGAAGAAGGCGTTTACTCTCTCGTCCTTCTCGCCCTTAGTGACTGGCAGCAGGTCGATGGTTGAGGACTTAGATTCTAGAAGTGTCCAAACAGAACATCAGGTAATTGGCAAGTCAAAATTCATTCTTACTAGGTTAGCATAAAAAGGAAACATATTTGAACTTTTATGGCTTTTTTAACTTTGAAAACAGATTTTTAGTTAAACTGGCGAATATGGCAATTGGCACCAACCTTCCTCCGATGAGAGTGGTAGACTATGACACACAGGAAGTTCCCACCATTGAGAATAGCTGTGGAGAATAGAAGATGTCAACAACCATGGGGAATAACGATAAACATGTGATCAAACTGTAAAGGATGGAATATGTGACCAAACTGTAAAGAAGGATGGAATATGTGACCAAACTGTAAAGGATAGAATATGTGATCCATCTGTAAATGATAGAATATGTGATCAAACTGTAAAGGATTGAATATGTGATCAATCTGTATATGATAGAATATGTGATCAAACTGTAAAGAATTGAATATGTCACCAAACTGTGAAGGATGGAATATGTGATCAAACTGTAAAGGATAGAATATGTGATCAAACTGTAAAGGATGGTATGTGTGATCAAACTGTAAAGGATGGTATGTGTGATCAAACTGTAACCAAACTGTAAAGGCTGGAATATGTGATCTAACTGTAAAGGATCGAATGTGAGACCAAACTGTAAAGGATGGAATGTGTGATCAAACTGCAAAGGATAAAATATGTGACTAAACTGCAAAGGATAAATATATGTGACCAAACTGTAAAGGATGGAATGTGTGATCAAACTGTAAAGGCTGGAATATGTGATCAAACTGTAAAGGATGGAATATGTCACCAAACTGTGAAGGCTGGAATATGTGATCAAACTGTAAAGGATAGACTAAGTGATCAAACTGCAAAGGATAAAATATGTGACCAAACTGTAAAGGATGGAATATATGATCAAACTGTAAAGGATGGAATATTTGATCAATCTGTAAATGATAGAATATGTGATCAAACTGTAAAGGATGGAATATGTCACCAAACTGTAAAAGATAAAATATGTGACCAAACTGTAAAGGATGGAATATATGATTAAACTGTAAAGGATGGAATATTTGATCAATCTGTAAATGATAGAATATGTGATCAAACTGTAAAGGATGGAACATGTGATCAATCTGTGAATGATAGAATATGTGATCAAACTGTAAAGGATGGAATATGTGATCAAACTGTAAAGGACGGAACAGGTGATCAATCTGCAAATGATAAAATATGTGATCAAACTGTACAGGATGGAATATGTGATCAAACTGTAAAGGATGGAATATGTGATCAAACTGTATATGATACAATATGTGACCAAACAGTTAAGGCTCAAATGTGTGATCAAACTGTAATGAGATTGTAAAGACTGGAATATGTGATCAAACTGTAAAGGATGGAATATGTGATCAAACTGTAAAGGAATGTGTACCAATATGTGACCAAACTGTAACCAAATTGTGAAGGCTGGAATATGCTCTAACTGTAAATGGTGTGATCAAACTGTAAAGGATGAATCATTGTAAAGACTGGAATATGTGATCTAACTGTAAAAACTATAAAGGATGGTATGTGTGATCAAACTGTAACCAAACTGTAAAGGCTGGAATATGTGATCAAACTGTAAAGGATGGTATGTGTGATCAAACTGTAAAGAATGGTATGTGTGATCAAACTGTAACCAAACTGTAAAGGCAGGAATATGTGATCTAACTGTAAAGGATCAAATGTGAGACCAAACTGTAAAGGATGGAATATGTGATCAAACTGCAAAGAATAAAATATGTGATCAAACTGTAAAGGATGGAATATGTGATCAATCTGTAAATGATAGAATATGTGATCAAACTGCAAAAGATGGTATGTGTGACCAAACTGTATAGGATGGTATGTGTGATCAAACTGTAAAGGATGGTATGTGTGATCAAACTGTAAAGGATGGTATGTGTGACCAAACTGTAAAGAATGGAAGGTGTGATCCAACTGCAAAGGATGGTATGTGTGATCTAACTGTAAAGGATGGATGTGTGATCAAACTGTAAAGGATGGAATGTGTGATCAAACTGTAAAGGATCGAATATGTGACCAAACTGTAAAGGATCGAATGTGAGACCAAACTGTAAAGGATGGAATGTGTGATCAAACTGCAAAGGAGAAAAATATGTTACCAAACTGTAAAGGATGGAATGTGTGATCAAACCGTAACCAAACTGTAAAGGCTGGAATATGTGATCAAACTGTAAAGGATGGAATGTGTGATCAAACTGTAACCAAACTGTAAAGGCTGGAATATGTGATCAAACTGCAAAGGATCGAATGTGAGACCAAACTGTAAAGGATGGAATGTGTGATCAAACTGTAAAGGATGGAATGTGTGATCAAACTGCAAAGGATAAAAATATGTGACCAAACTGTAAAGGATGGAATGTGTGATCAATCTGTAAAGGATGGAATATGTGATCAAACTGTAAAGGATGGAATGTGTGATCAATCTGTAAAGGATGGAATGTGTGATCAAACTGTAAAGGATGGAATGTGTGATCAAACTGTAAAGGATGGAATATGTGATCAAACTGTAAAGGATGGAATGTGTGATCAATCTGTAAAGGATGGAATATGTGATCAAACTGTAAAAGATGACTATGTGATGAATCTGTAAAGGATGGAATATGAGACCAAACTGTGAAGGATGGAGTATATGACACAACTGCAAGAAATGGAAAATGTTGTATTAAAGTGGAACAAAGTGTGAAACCTTCTCAAAGTACAACCTTCGAACAAAGTTTGAAGCTGTTTTAAAGTATGTGTTAATAAAGTGTCCATCTTTCACAATGTGCATCCTTGCATGAAAGTGTGCAGCTTTCTCAGGTAGCAATAAAGTGTGCAACTTGTCAATAAAGTGTTTAGGATTTCAATGTTCAACCTTGCATGACAGTTTGCAGCTTTCTTAATGTGCAACTTATCAATACAATGAGTCTGTGATGGTGTACGCACCTCCTGTGTTTGAGCCGGGTGAAGGTGAGGGCATTCCGGTTGTGCAGGTAGTAGTCTGTCGGCAGTTCCCACAGGTTCAGATCCCCGTCCTTCGGCTCAAACACACCCAGGAACAGATTGTAGGCCTGCTGCTTCTCCAGGTCTGGCGACATCAACACACAGAATATAGATGATACATCATAAACGGAACAAAAGACTACACAGTTTCCTATTGTCTTCCTCATTAGAGAAAGATCTCTATGACTCAGGGAGAAAGTTGACGATTGTTTTATGCAACCAGCCACAATACTCCAGCTGTATGACAGCAGTGTACAATCACTCCAGCTGTATGACAGCTGTGTACAGCAGCTGTACAATCACTCCAGATGTATGGCTGTATGCTGTATGGCAGCTGTGTACAATCACTCCAGCTGTATGACAGCTGTGTACAATCACTCTAGCTGTATGACAGCAGTGTACAATCACTCCAGCTGTATGATAGTTGTGTACAATCACTCCAGCTGTATGCAATCACTCCAGCTGTATGGCAGCAGTGTACAATCACTCCAGCTGTATGACACCAGTGTACAATCACTCTAGCTGTATGACAGCGTGTACAATCACTCCAGCTGTATGACAGCAGTGTACAATCATGTGGTTGTCAGCATGATCTACACTCAACAATGTCAGGGTACGATGGCATGCAATCAGACTATTCATATACACACATATTAGTCAGGTCTTATCATATCAAGCATAAACTACATGGGCCCCATTGTGAAGGTTCCATAGGCAGTATCACGGCCCAGCAGTAATGACACCACCCACACCACAACATGGAATGGTTTAAGCCTGGTTCCTCTCCAGCAAAACATCTCAGTAGTAGGTTTGTTCCATGCTATAACAATAGTCTTACTGAAACCATGACAGTGTAGAGAGGGGCCCTGGCTTGTATGGTTGGCACAATGTCTCCCTGCCATGTCTGCTTCTACAGGAATCAGTTCAGGAAACAGAGTTGGAGGAAAACCTGACTCTTCTGCATCAATCATTACCACAATTCATACATAGGTATTTCCCATACTCACCTGAAAAGGCGTTGCTATAGTAACGGGACAGTGTCTGCATGATGTCCCTGGAGTGGGAAGTCCAGGGTGAGATCTTGCGGTAGCCCTTGATTCGATGCACAAGCTGTGAACCCCCGTACTGCAGTGCCATTGTGTCGCCGTGATCCTCGTACAGATCCTCTAGCATCCTGGACAGACACAACAGCAAGGTGTCAGCCAATACCCAACCGCACTATGTCAGCAATCACAAAACAGCCGCACGCCAACATTAAACAACAGCAACATGTAAGGCGTTTCACAACAGCAAACTGGCAACCATTGCCTCTTACAATACACATTGAACATTTCCACAGTTCCAACCAGTTGTATGCTTGGATTCTGCTTCAGTAAATTTGTTCTCTATTTATTCTTCAAATAAAAGTAGTTCCACAGATGCCACCTCTTATGTAAAAATAAATAAACAAACAGGATATAGGCCCACCTTAGACAGTCGGTGTCGAACTCCAAGTGGGGTTTGTCAATCACATTCAAGGCATATAGCTGAAAAGACGAAAAAGTCATACTGTTATCTGTAATTAGTTACACCCTCCTTAACACTAAATTACTTTTATTGATTATCAGCCTTCCCCATCTCTAAACCTGGGGTCAGATGCCGTGAGAATGATTGTGTCTACAGGGAGATAACTCTGACATGACTGAGGAACTTACTTGATATGCCATGGCACAACGCCCAACTGCAAACTGGGCTGTGTTGGTTCTGTCAAGACAGTCCACACAGTTCGTCCTTACGATGCCAGTCTGGCGTAAACCAGTTGCTGAGCGGTGACCTTGAATACCCTTGAACCTGGAGTGAAGGAAAACACTGAAGTGGCTGTTGTAACAGATACATAGAGGAGCTTCACAATGAAGTCATGTCCATGATGACGTCTTGTCTTAGTGATTTATGTCATCTGTCAGTATATGACTTCATCAGAGGGAATATTTATGGCATGAAATCCATAAAGAAGGGTGGTGGGGAAGCTTGTTGTGAAAGTCCTGGCCTGACCCAGTGACAACTGAGGGCTAATGCCCCACATGGATACAATGCTCGAAGCCCATTCTTGGTGACCCTGCTCTGCAAGTACTGCAAGTCTCTGGGGTACTGTTAAAAGCAGTGTCAAATTCACCGTATTCTCTCAAACCATCATTCTTCAAGATCAGGTAAACTTGGGGAAACTCCACACTGTAAACCACAGTTGGCACAACTATGTTTCAAAATATTTCACTGTAAAAATATCAACTGGACATTTAGAGAGCATTATATTTTGGTTTTCCTACATACTCTGTCATACACACTAGAAGCTAAACTGAGTTTGATATGATGCATCTCTTACTTCAACACTTAGGCATAAGACACAAGTTACTCAATCGATCGGAAACTATAGAAATCATTTGTGAATTATCCAGGATGTTGAAATACACCTGCATCCATGCACAGTAAGATGACTTACTCCTCGTCCTTGAGGACTACCTGTGCCTGGGCCGGGGGCATGCTGAGGAAGAAGCCAGTCTGTTTGAGGCAGTACTTGGCTATCTTGGCGAGGCGGACCAGCACATCGGTGTCCTTCCTGGAACATACATCACATCGTGTCAACCGCAGCTTGTAGCTCGTTTCACGTTTAATGCGTCGGGCAGAAGTATCCCAGATATGTCAGAGCAATCTGTTGACAACCGTGTCTCAGCCAGACAAGCCAGTGGTTGATGTAACAATCAAATACCATGACACATTAACAACACTGTCTCAGCCAGACAAGCCAGTGGTTGATGTTACAATCGAATACCATGACACATTAACAACCGTGTCTCAGCCAGACAAGCCAGTGGTTGATGTTACAATCGAATACCATGACACATTAACAACCGTGTCTCAGCCAGACAAGCCGGTGGTTGATGTAACAATCGAATACCATGACACATTAACAACTGTGTCTCAACCAGACAAGCCAGTGGTTGATGGTACAATCGAATACCATGACACATTAACAACCGTGTCTCAGCCAGACAAGCCGGTGGTTGATGTAACAATCGAATACCGTGACACATTAACAACCGTGTCACAGCAAGACAAGCCGGTGGTTGATGTAACAATCGAATACCATGACATTTTAACAACCGTGTCTCAGCCAGACAAGCCAGTGGTTGATGTTACAATCGAATACCATGACACATTAACAACCGTGTCTCAGCCAGACAAGCCAGTGGTTGATGTTACAATTGAATACCATGACACATTAACAACCGTGTCTCAGCCAGACAAGCCAGTGGTTGATGCTACAATCGAATACCATGACACATTAACAACCGTGTCTCAGCCAGACAAGCCAGTGGTTGATGTTACAATCGAATACCATGACACATCAACAACCGTGTCTCAGCCAGACAAGCCAGTGGTTGATGTTACATGGATACCATGATGACATTAACAACCGTGTCTCAGCCAGACAAGCCAGTGGTTGATGTTACAATCGAATATCATGACACATTAACAACCGTGTCTCAGCCAGACAAGCCAGTGGTTGATGCTACAATCGAATACCATGACACATTAACAACCGTGTCTCAGCCAGACAAGCCAGTGGTTGATGTTACAATCGAATACCATGACACATTAACAACCGTGTCTCAGCCAGACAAGCCAGTGGTTGATGTTACAATGAATACCATGACACATTAACAACCGTGTCTCAGCCAGACAAGCCAGTGGTTGATGTTACAATCGAATACCATGACACATTAACAACCGTGTCTCAGCCAGACAAGCCAGTGGTTGATGTTACAATCGAATACCATGACACATTAACAACCGTGTCTCAGCCAGACAAGCCAGTGGTTGATGTTACAATCGAATACCATGACACATTAACAACCGTGTCTCAGCCAGACAAGCCAGTGGTTGATGCTACAATCGAATACCATGACACATTAACAACCGTGTCTCAGCCAGACAAGCCAGTGGTTGATGTTACAATCGAATACCATGACACATCAACAACCGTGTCTCAGCCAGACAAGCCAGTGGTTGATGTTACATCGAATACCATGACACATTAACAACCGTGTCTCAGCCAGACAAGCCAGTGGTTGATGTTACAATCGAATACCATGACACATTAACAACCGTGTCTCAGCCAGACAAGCCAGTGGTTGATGTTACAATCGAATACCATGACACATTAACAACCGTGTCACAGCCAGACAAGCCAGTGGTTGATGTTACAATCGAATACCATGACACATCAACAACCGTGTCTCAGCCAGACAAGCCAGTGGTTGATGTTACATGGATACCATGACACATTAACAACCGTGTCTCAGCCAGACAAGCCAGTGGTTGATGTTACAATCGAATATCATGACACATTAACAACCGTGTCTCAGCCAGACAAGCCAGTGGTTGATGTTACATGGATACCATGACACACTGACAACTGTGTCTCAGCCAGACAAGCCAGTGGTTGATGCAACAATCGAATACCATGACACATCAACAACCGTGTCTCAGCCAGAAAAATCAGTGGTTGATGTTACAATCGAATACCATGACACATTAACAACCGTGTCTCAGCCAGACAAGCCAGTGGTTGATGCTACAATCGAATACCATGGCACATTAACAACCGTGTCTCAGCCAGACAAGCCAGTGGTTGATGTTACATGGATACCATGACACACTGACAACTGTGTCTCAGCCAGACAAGCCAGTGGTTGATGCTACAATCGAATACCATGACACATCAACAACCGTGTCTCAGCCAGAAAAATCAGTGGTTGATGTTACAATCGAATACCATGACACATTAACAACTGTGTCTCAACCAGACAAGCCAGTGGTTGATGGTACAATCGAATACCATGACACATTAACAACCGTGTCTCAGCCAGACAAGCCAGTGGTTGATGTTACAATCGAATACCATGACACATTAACAACCGTGTCTCAGCCAGACAAGCCAGTGGTTGATGTTACAATCGAATACCATGACACATTAACAACCGTGTCTCAGCCAGACAAGCCAGTGGTTGATGTTACAATCGAATACCATGACACATTAACAACCGTGTCTCAGCCAGACAAGCCAGTGGTTGATGTTACAATCGAATACCATGACACATCAACAACCGTGTCTCAGCCAGACAAGCCAGTGGTTGATGTTACAATTGAATACCATGACACATTAACAACCGTGTCTCAGCCAGACAAGCCAGTGGTTGATGCTACAATCGAATACCATGACACATTAACAACCGTGTCTCAGCCAGACAAGCCAGTGGTTGATGTTACAATCGAATACCATGACACATCAACAACCGTGTCTCAGCCAGACAAGCCAGTGGTTGATGTTACAATCGAATACCATGACACATTAACAACCGTGTCTCAGCCAGACAAGCCAGTGGTTGATGTTACAATGGATACCATGACACATTAACAACCGCGTGTCTCAGCCAGACAAGCCAGTGGTTGATGTTACAATCGAATACCATGACACATTAACAACCGTGTCTCAGCCAGACAAGCCAGTGGTTGATGTTACAATCGAATACCATGACACATTAACAACCGTGTCTCAGCCAGACAAGCCAGTGGTTGATGCTACAATCGAATACCATGACACATTAACAACCGTGTCTCAGCCAGACAAGCCAGTGGTTGATGTTACATGGATACCATGACACACTGACAACTGTGTCTCAGCCAGACAAGCCAGTGGTTGATGCTACAATCGAATACCATGACACATTAACAACCGTGTCTCAGCCAGACAAGCCAGTGGTTGATGTTACAATCGAATACCATGACACATTAACAACCGTGTCTCAGCCAGACAAGCCAGTGGTTGATGCTACAATCGAATACCATGACACATTAACAACCGTGTCTCAGCCAGACAAGCCAGTGGTTGATGTTACAATCGAATACCATGACACATTAACAACCGTGTCTCAGCCAGACAAGCCAGTGGTTGATGCTACAATCGAATACCATGACACATTAACAACCGTGTCTCAGCCAGACAAGCCAGTGGTTGATGTTACAATCGAATACCATGACACATCAACAACCGTGTCTCAGCCAGACAAGCCAGTGGTTGATGTTACATGGATACCATGACACATTAACAACCGTGTCTCAGCCAGACAAGCCAGTGGTTGATGTTACAATCGAATATCATGACACATTAACAACCGTGTCTCAGCCAGACAAGCCAGTGGTTGATGTTACAATCGAATACCATGACACATTAACAACCGTGTCTCAGCCAGACAAGCCAGTGGTTGATGTTACAATCGAATACCATGACACATCAACAACCGTGTCTCAACCAGACAAGCCAGTGGTTGATGTTACAATCGAATACCATGACACATTAACAACCGTGTCTCAGCCAGACAAGCCAGTGGTTGATGCTACAATCGAATACCATGACACATTAACAACCGTGTCTCAGCCAGACAAGCCAGTGGTTGATGTTACAATCGAATACCATGACACATTAACAACCGTGTCTCAGCCAGACAAGCAAGCCAGTGGTTGATGTTACAATCGAATACCATGACACATTAACAACCGTGTCTCAGCCAGACAAGCCAGTGGTTGATGTTACAATCGAATACCATGACACATTAACAACCGTGTCTCAGCCAGACAAGCCAGTGGTTGATGCTACAATCGAATACCATGACACATTAACAACCGTGTCTCAGCCAGACAAGCCAGTGGTTGATGTTACAATCGAATACCATGACACATCAACAACCGTGTCTCAGCCAGACAAGCCAGTGGTTGATGTTACAATCGAATACCATGACACATTAACAACCGTGTCTCAGCCAGACAAGCCAGTGGTTGATGTTACAATCGGATACCATGACACATTAACAACCGTGTCTCAGCCAGACAAGCCAGTGGTTGATGTTACAATCGAATACCATGACACATTAACAACCGTGTCTCAGCCAGACAAGCCAGTGGTTGATGCTACAATCGAATACCATGACACATTAACAACCGTGTCTCAGCCAGACAAGCCAGTGGTTGATGTTACAATCGAATACCATGACACATTAACAACCGTGTCTCAGCCAGACAAGCCAGTGGTTGATGCTACAATCGAATACCATGACACATTAACAACCGTGTCTCAGCCAGACAAGCCAGTGGTTGATGTTACATGGATACCATGACACACTGACATCTGTGTCTCAGCCAGACAAGCCAGTGGTTGATGCTACAATCGAATACCATGACACATTAACAACCGTGTCTCAGCCAGACAAGCCAGTGGTTGATGTTACAATCGAATATCATGACACATTAACAACCGTGTCTCAGCCAGACAAGCCAGTGGTTGATGCTACAATCGAATACCATGACACATTAACAACCGTGTCTCAGCCAGACAAGCCAGTGGTTGATGTTACAATCGAATACCATGACACATTAACAACCGTGTCTCAGCCAGACAAGCCAGTGGTTGATGCTACAATCGAATACCATGACACATTAACAACCGTGTCTCAGCCAGACAAGCCAGTGGTTGATGTTACAATCGAATACCATGACACA